TGGACACATTCCAGCAAAGAAGCAAAGACCACCAGCATTGAAGCGGTGGTCCTTCACCATCAACTCCTCTGGACTGGCTACGTTGTCCGGATGCCCAACCACCGTCTCCCAAAGCAGTTGCTGTACTCCAAACTCAAAAACGGAATGTTGGTGGACAGGAAAATAGATTTAAAGATGGGCTCAAAGCCAACCTTTAAAACTGTGGCATACACTGAGAACTGGGAAGCCCTGGCCCTTGAGCACTCCAGCTGGAGATCAGCTGTGACCAGCAGTGCTGCAGAATTTGAAGAGGCACGAACGGAGGGTGAAAGAGAGAAACGTGTCAAGAGGAAGGTGCGTCAAGCCAACCCTGACCAAGACTGCCCTCACTGCGGGAGACGATGCAGGTCAAGAATAGGGCTCCACAGCCACCTACAGACCCACCAGAACACTTGGAAGACTACCCTACTCAGACATCGAGGGATCACCTAAGCTCCAGCTCCCTGTGCGGTGACATGAGGGAAGCCTCCCACAAGGATTTTTTTTTCATGTTAGGAGTGACTTGAGAAACTGCAAATCGCTTCTGATGCGAGAAGAGCAAACCACAGAGTGGTAAAACATCAAAAACATCAGGGCGTCCCCTGAGCAACATCCTTACAGATGGCCAATTCTCTCACACCAGAAGCAACTTGCAGTTTCTCAAGTTGCTCCTGACACAAAAAAAATTTGGGAGTGATGCCATTAGATTTAATTGGCTTTCTTCTACCCAGGTTTACTTCAAGTAGTAGTCTTTCTATTAAGACACATGCAGTGTCAATTTTTTCAGTACTTTATGTGATGCACACACACATTAATTTGAGAGAACAGTTTTTTTAGGAATTTATAGGACTTCTAACATGCTGAATGGTCAATGTCTGCTGGAAACTGACCACAGAATCAAATTGGAGACTTATAAATTCTTACGGAGAGGTTCTGCTTAGAAAGTTGACTTTTGAAGGACCCAGAGAGAACATTTAAAAGCAAACCTGTGAATAATCAAATCCACCAAAGTCAAAATTTCAAATGGACAACTGTAGTTTGATTTACTTTGCTAATGCACAAGAAGGTATAACTATGAGATGCTAACGAGATGTTTTATTGATTTATATTGACTGTTTATTATGCTACTGTTTTTAATTGTTTTTAACTGTCTTATGATGTTTTTGAGCATTGAATTTCGCTCTGAGTTGCCCCAGGGGTGAGAAGAGCGGTATGCAAATGTAGTAAATAAATAAATGACAAGTAATTTGTTTTGTAACTCGATGCATTAAACTTACCTGTTATAAAAACAGCGCTGTTGGCTCTCTGTAGAAAAGCTATGCAGAAGCTAGTTCCCTCCAAATGTGCCAAACTAATCTTCTTGATGCAAGGCTACTGGAGAAGATAGAAATTATAGTCCCAACACAGCCAAAAACATGCCAGGTTGCAGAACAGCAACTAGTAAAATATAGAATTAAGTTGTTGGAAGAGTTGTCCTCACCCTTGATACGGGTTTCACAGCACTGATCGGCCGGGATAATTCACAGTTGAATTCTCTCCCTTGTTCACAGTTGCTATGGTTGAGCTTTTCATAAACAACCACGGTGTCTTTCAGAGCCAAAGAAGACCTTAGTAACATGCCATCATTGAATGAAGCAATGTAGATGACAAAACATGTTGCTATTTATTTAAAATAAATACTATTTACTAAGTGCCTATTGGAAAGAATGTGAAAGCAATTACCCATCGAAGGAGATTAGTGGCACCTGAAAGCTTACAATCTGACCATAAGAAATTGGTAAACCCAATTAATGATGACTGGTAGCAGAGGATGAATGAAATACATGATCTTTCTGTCATAAGGAGCTACATGGCCCGAAAGAGCAAAAAAGGCAGATGTGTAAAGGACAATGCAGTGCTCAGTTTATGCTGTCTACGCAGCCATTTAGTATTTATCAACCCATAGGAAGGAGCCCCCGGTGGTGCAATGGGTTAAACCCTTGTGCCAGCAGGACTGATGACTGGTAGGTCGGAGGTTCAAATCCAGAGACAGTGCAGATGAGCTCCCTCTGGCAGCTCCAGCTCCCCGTGCAGGGACATGAGAGAAGCCTCCCACAAGCATGGTAAAACATCTAAACATCTGAGCATTCTCTAGACCAGTGCTCCTCAACCTGGGGTCCCCAGATGTTTTTGGCCTACAACTCCCAGAAATCCCAGCCAGTTTACCAGATGTTAGGATTTCTGGGAGTTGAAGGCCAAAAACATCTGGGGACCCCAGGTTGAGAACCACTGCTCTAGGCAATGTCCTTGCAGATGGCCAATTCTCTCATATCAGAATCGACTTGCAGTTTTTCAAGTAGTTCCTGACACAAAACCCGCCCAAAAACCATAGGAAAATGAATCTGCTCCTAATTTCACATTGGGAGGTAGCTCTTTATGATTTTAGAACATTGGTTCCCAACCTTTGTTTTGACCAGGGACCACTTTGACCAGGGACCACTCTCCAACATTAGTACCTACAGGGTTACAAATCCGTTTTTAGTCAACTTTAGATTTGGTTTGGTTATTTTGGGTGCTAATTCAGAAAATTGCATTTGGATAGACCACATCAGCTCTAGTTTCTGATACAGAATATATGGCATCCAGTAATCACCATCTGCTTGCCCACAGAAAACCATATTTAATAATATAGAGCTGATGTGGTAGTAGTAATCTTTTGTGGGTAGTCAGCCTCTCACCTCCCAGCATCCCCCTTGCCTTGGCACTATAAGAGGGTTTCGCGAGACCAATAGCTTTTGTTGCGGTGTGGTTTTGAGGCAACGGTGTAGTAATGGTGAGGCCGCGGACCATATTTTCATTCTTGTGGATCACTGGTGGTCCATAGACCACAGGTTGGGAACCACTGTTTTGGAAAGACACCTGGGACATTTTAACATAGAGAGGAGATGAAGACTGCAATGCTCTGCCACCTACACTCTCAATATCTAAATCTAAATTATTTCTACAAGTTAGAAGTAAAGGGCACACATTTCAAAAGATGTCATAATTAAAAGACTGCAAATCTGGTTTGCATTAGGCCAAAGTTCCCTTTTAACGTTGCCATATGGAAGATGGGGCAAGCTTGTTTTATGCTACTCCAGAGACCAGGACTAGGAGCAATGGAATCAAAGTATAGAAGTGATTCCATCCAATTATTAGGAGGAACTTCCTGACAATAGGAGTTGCTTGAACAGTGGAATATGCTGTTTGGGAGTATGGTGGAGTCTCCTTTTCTGGAGGGTTTTAAACAGAGACTGGATGGGCATCTTTCAAGAGGGCTTTGATTGTGTGAATTGATTGGATTGAATGGCCTTTGGGGTCTCTTCTGTTGGAGCATGTAAAATCAGTTGGTGAGTGTGTTAACTGAAAAAAGCAAAGCATGAAGTGGATTGGTTGGGCCATGCCCAAAGGTTAGCTGAGCCTGGGAGTTTTGGCAACAGTTACATGTTTAAATTTTCTGTGCAGGAGCTTGCCAAGATAGGTTTGTATTTTTTGCTTCTTCGTGCTAGAAGAAGATTCTTCAAATGGACACCTAAGGACCATCTGAATTTCTCTCAAAGGACATTGTGTGAGTCAATGCAACTACCGTATTTTCTGGCATTTAAGACTACTTTTTAACCCAAGAAAATCTTCTCAAAAATCAGGGGTTGTGTTATATGCGGGAGTCAACTCATACGAGGGAGTCAAGTTATACGCTGTGAGTTGTCTTATAGAGTGGGTGTTGAAACTTCCAATCTGGACTGGAGAATCTGTGGTTGCCGCATATGGTGGGGGAGCTCAAAAATGGCAGTGCCATCCCTGCCATATGCAGCGACTATCAAAGCATTAAGGATGACGCTGTACAAGTACAGTAGAAGAAAATCCATTCATCAGGATTCATGGACTTAATGTGATCCCGATGGTGAGGTGAAGGGGTGCCTCACTGGGAAGGTGTAAGTGAAAGATGGAGCAAGCTGCAGGTGTCTGGGGGCCCCGGGTATGGGAAAAAAGAGAGAGAGTGGCTCTGGGCCCAGAAAAACACACCTCTTTTATCTGTCTGACCCACCTTTGTATCCTATGACCACACCTCCTCCTCTGCCTCTCAGATCTCGCTCCTGAAGACTGCAGTGAAGAGAAGCAGGTGCACATGTGCGAGATCTGAGAGGCAGAGAAGGAGGTACAGTAATAGGAAAATTACCATACTGAAATCAAATCTGATGCTTTTAAAATATTTATTTGGTGTCTGTTGGAAGAGGGGTAGTCTTATACGGTGAGTATATTCCAAACTCTATATTTTAACTGGAAAAGTTGGGGGCTCGTCTTATACGCCAGAAAATACAGTATATATATATATTTGTGGCCCTGCGTAAGAAAGAGTAAACACTTTATTCTTTACTGATCATCTGTGTGGCATGTCTTTTCTTTAATAAGACAGTGTGTGGATTGAGAAAGATGTGAACAATGTGTGATTTTCATTCCGTCACATCTTCCAACTCTATTATTAATCTTTGAAGAGCCCAGACACTCACGTAAACAAACCCTTTCATAAATGTTCAAGTTGGGAAGAGCAAAACAGGCAGACAACTTCCCCAACAATTTTCATCCATGTTGATATTTGATTATAAAGATAACGACTTCCTGCAGAGCCAACCTCAAGAAATGGGGCTACAAAGTGGAATCCACGACATGCGAGTGTGGAGAAGAGCAAACCACTGACCACCTGCTGCAATGCAACCTGAGCCCTGCCACATGCACAATGGAGGACCTCCTTGAGGCAACACCAGAGGCACTCCAAGTGGCCAGATACTGGTCAAAGGACATTTAATAGAATACCAAGCTTGCAAACTTTGTGTTTTGTCTGTTTGTTAAAAATTTGTTTAAAATGTAATACAATTGTCTGGTTGATACTGACACGATAAATAAATAAATATGACTTCCTGTTGCCAATGGAATAAAAAGGAAGAAGGAATCAGAATATTTCACAGTTAGTTTTAAAAGCATTTAATGACATAGCATATATTTAACAGATAGGGTAAAAGTCTAGAGGTACAGTTCCATACAACCGAAAGCCAGTTTCCAGTACTACCCTGACTACAGGCCCAGTCATTGAGAAGTCATTCCTATTAAATGTAATTTTTTTGATTGTGCAGTAAGATGAAAATTGTTCATTACAATAGTTACAGTGACAGAGAAATGCACACTATGTATCAAAGAGCAAAGGTAATGTCGCAAAATTATAACACAGTGCAGCAGCTGACAAGCAAGTTAACCATTGGAGTAACATTACTTTTTTCCCAGTAAATGCTTCAGTTCCACTTTTACACTTAATCAATGAATTTTAAAGGGTTTTTTTTTATTATACATCTAGTCTTCTTATACTTTTTACTAGAATTATCTGAAACAATATAATGTATTTCAGCAAAAAAAAAAAATCAAAATTACAGATTTATTCAAAACCGTTATCAGTATGCTAAAGTCCTTCTTGTCCGTAACCAACATTCTTAACTGTCATTGCCGGATGCTGGAAGAGGGTCGAAGTGTCACGGTCATGTTAATAGTAAGAATAGTAATATTAATAATAGTCATAATAATCCAGTGCCTGGATACAAATGGTTTTGGTCTGTAAGTTAATGTCGAGCTGCACTCTATTACAGTAAAGAGAATACACTACCATTTCGTTACAGGCTAAAGGCTCGCAGTGGGGAGAATCGAGTAGTCAAGACTCAGCGCAACCAACTTGGGGAAATGGGCTCAAAGGGCGTAAATCTGTCTCTGGTGGGCACGTGAAGTTTGTAATTGCTGCTGCCTTGCATACCAGTAATACCAACTGGGGAGGGATGGGGGGGAGGGCAGAGGAAGGATTGTTTTCCAAGAGAGCCTCAAAAAATTGAGGAACGGTTTAAATAGTAAGATCTAATCTACATTAACTTCATCTTTTTAAAAAGGAAACAAGAGAGAAAAAAGAGGAAAATAAAAGAATAAGAAAATAAAAGAAACCTGGCGTTCCCTCTCACTCCGAAGTTGCCCAATGCACCTCAGATATTTGGAAGTTTGGAATCGTTTTTGTGTGTATTTCTTTTTTTAAAAAGGCTCTATAAATAAAAAAAAGAAAGAGGAAGAACTTAAATCACACTGAGGAACATTAGGCACGGAGAGTAATGTATTGGTTCTGAGCTTGCATGCTGGAATTCCACTGGAAAACGGTCGGAGAAGTGCAGCGTGTACAGATCGAAGCAGGGAGGAGTTCACTTCTTCTTCCCAAAAAGGCTGAACCGCTTCTCTTTGTCTTTCTCCTTCTCTTTCTCCCGCTTGCCGGGACTGGACTCGCTGGTTATTGTCACGCTGGCAGGCAGGGTCTGGGCACGGCTGGTGGCCGGGGTGCTCTGTGTGCTTGTGGACAGCTCGGCCTTGTCCGAGGAGATGGCCGAAGTGATGGCCTGGATCCACGTGTTCATTTCCTCCTGGAAAAACAAAAATGCAGCAGGGTCAAGGGATTTCTTGTTCTATTATTATTGGGTTGTTGTAGGTATTTCGGGCAGTATGGCCATGTTCTAGAAGCATTCTCTCCTGACGTTTTGCCTACATCTATGGCAGGCATCCTCAGAGGTTGTGAGGTCTCACTACCTCAACTACCTCTGAGGATGCCTGCCATAGATGCAGGTGAAACATCAGGAGAGAATGCTTCAAGAACATGGCCATACTGCCTGAAAAACCTACAACAACCCAGTGATTCCAGCCATGAAAGCCTTTGACAATCTATTATTATTTATTATTATTGGCAGTATTTATATACTGCCTTTCTCAACTACGAAGGGGACTCAGGACGGTTCAGTGGTGGCAACAATTTAATGCAATCGATAAAAAATAGTATAAAACATCAAAATAGACCCTCCTCTGATAAACACATAACATAAAATAACATCACATATAGTATCACACAGAGACATAGCTGGCAAAAAAAAGCCAATGGGATTTTGGCCTGCATCAATAGGAGGATAGCGTCTAGATCCAGTGAGGTCATGCTACCCCCTATTCCGCCTTGGTTAGACCACACCTGGAATATTGTGTCCAATTCTGGGCACCACAGTTGAAGAGAGATATTGACAAGTTGGAATGTGTCCAGAGGAGGGTGACTAAAACGATCAAGGGTCTGGAGAACAAGCCCTACGAGGAGCGGGTTAAAGAGCTGTAGGCATATTTAGCCTGAAGAAGAGAAGGCTGAGAGGAGACATGATAGCCATGTATAAATATGTGAGAGGAAGTAATAGGGAGGAGGGAGTGAACTTGTTTTCTGCTGCCCTGGACACTAGGACGCAGAACAATGGCTTCACACTACAAGAAAGGAGATTCCATCTGAACATTAGGAAGAACTTCCTGACGGTGAGAGCTGTTCGGGAGTGGAACCCTCTGCCCCGGCATGTGGTAGAGGCTCCTTCTTTGGAAGCTTTTAAACAGAGGCTGGATGGCCATCTGTTGGGGGTGCTTTGAATGCAGGGGGTTGGACTGGATGGCCCATGAGGTCTCTTCCAACTCCATTACTTTTTGGACTCCTAAGACACTTAGGCCCACGACATGTCTTTTAAAGAAACTTCCATTCACTTCTTGTTAGAAAAGACCCCTTTCTCAAGGGCCTTAAATGACCCTGAGAGCTTCCATGGCTGGGTCATAGTCCCAACATTCAAATCACTACATATACTGGCTCTCAAAACCCTGAATAGCCAATGTTAAAAACCCAAAGGATAAATTGCAGTAACAATGTCATGTTCTAGAGTGGAGGTGAGAGAGAAATCCAGAAGATACAGATTTTTCACTGAGTCCATTACCTCAAATCAAACTCTCCCATTAGTGCAAACATTTTCTTTCCCGGAAACTATGCCTGTACAAGCCCTGCACTAATTGTCTAGCAAGATGGTATAATGTTTTGAAATGGATTATTTTTAAAGTGCTTTTAAATTTTTTGTATTATAGACCGTATGCAAAGGGACCTTAGAGAATGAAAAAAAGTCCTCAGTTAGTCTCAAATGTGCTACAAGATCTCTTCACATATTGATATGCCAGACTATTATTAACAACAATTATTAATTATTAAAGACTGTTGTAGCTATTTTGTTTTGGACTCGAAGTGGGAGAAAAGTGGAATATTAATTTAGTTAATCAAATGCATGTACAGAGGACACAGGCCTTTGCCAAAATGAAAAATGTTAAAAATGGATTCCTTAACACAAAATAAAAATTTGACGCATCATAGTAACACAGGACACTGGAGCAATTAAAAGAATAGAAAGAACAAGGACTTACATCATCTTTGGCTTGGAAGAGGTACTCATTGCCATCAGTTAACCTGTAAATAAGAATGAGAAATCAGCATCAGAATAAAAAACAAGTGCTCCTTTTGTGTCCCAGAAACAGGAAACATAACTTGCAGTTCTTGTTTTTGTGCTAATCCCATACATTCCAGGCCCACTGTTGCAATACTCCACCATCAATTTCAAAAGTATCTCAGGTACCTCATCTCATAGTAGTGTGCTATACCTAGAGGACATGAAAAAACATCTCAAAGTTAATGAGATTGTGGGCAAGACCAGTGCATTGGTTTTGAGTCCTCACGAAAGATCTCATTCTCTTCTGGATTCTTCTGTGCTACCCATAATACCAACATATTATTTGTAGTGCTTTAGCCCCCAGTGATGAAATGTGTGCCGGCAGGACTGCTGACCGATAGGTCAGTGGTTCGAATCCAAGGAAAGCGGTTGAGCTCCCTCTGTCAGCTCCAGCTCCCTATGCGGGGACATGAGAGAAGCCTTCCACAAGGAAGGCAAAATATCAAACATCCAGGAGTCCTCTGGGCAGCATCCTTGCAGACGACCAATTCTCTCACACAAGAAGTGACTTGTAGTTTGTGGGGCTGATTCTCATTGAAAACTTAGGTGCAAACTGTTTCAGGGAGATAAATGGTTGGCTGTCCACCTTTATGAATTTTAACTTTTGCAGATTTGTTACTTATGGATGTGATTAATATGGTCTCTCTAAGAATCTCTAAGTCCTCCAGTGTGATTCTTCTACTGGCAGATGGCCACAGGAATCCATAGAAGGGTGTTCTCTAAGGTTAAACAAAGGGCTTTTTAAAAAAAATTAACGCACATCCTGTACCCACAAACCCTAGCAAACGTGGAAGGCTGATTGTAATTGAAATCAATATTACTACATCAATCAACTCCATCTATTGATTCATGGCTTGTGTGTGTTGTGATTCTGGGTTGGGACACACAAGGAACACAAGGTGGCACTGTGTGCAGAGTTTAGTTTTATTCCAATATCAGCTTTGATTTTCTTTTGACGCATTGGTGTCTAGACATTGTAGCCTCCAAATCTGACATGCAATGCCTACTGAAAACTCTGGCACTTCCTCCAGAATACTGATTACTAAAACCAGAATAATCCATCCAAAATAACAGTTTTGTTAAAATTGCAGATTCAGTGAGACTAAAGAAAGTCATGCCAAGTTGCTCAATGTGTAGCTAATGCAGGCCAGAGGTGCAGGACAATGATTTAGCACAGGATTCACATGCATTAATTAATACTCTCTCTGACATCTTCTTAAAATATGGGATGTAGCTGTCAGAGGACTTTGGATATTTCCACCCAGGTTTCAGTGTGGTGTTATTTTTAACTGCATAGTTTTAAAAAGACACGTTTATTCTGGCTTAGCTGTATTGTAAGTTGTATTGAGATGTCATCTTGCACTGAAAATGGACTGAAGTCTGACTTGGCCATGGTAGTCCATGCTCTGGTTACATCCCGTATACACTACTGAAACACACTCTATGTGGGGTTGCCTTTGAAAACTGTTTGGTAGTTTCAAATGGTCCAATGGGCAGCAGCCAGATTGCTCACTGGAGTGGCATTCAGGGAGCATTCAAACCCTCTGTTACACCAACTCCATTGGCTGCAGGCACAATTCAAAGTGCTGGATTTAGCCTATAAAGCTCTAAACAGTTTCGGCACAGCTTACCTGTCCAAACGTATATCTCCCTATGAACCATCTACGAGTTTACGATCGATCGGGGAGGCCCTGCTCTCAGTCCTGCCTTCTTCACAGGCATGACTGGCGGGGACGAGAGACAGGGCCTTTTCAGTGGTGACCCCTTGGTTGTGGAATACCCTCCCCAGGGATATTAGATTAAACCCCTCCCTCTTGACCTTCTGGAAAAAAAGTGAAAACGTGGCTATTTCAACAAGTCTTTGGAATCTAATGCAACAGTCAAACACGGTATTAGACAAAAGTGAACATTGGAATGGCTCAGATGATGATTTATGGACAATGAGACTAATAATGAAGGCATTGGTTTTATATGTTTTATTGAATTTGTTTTTAATTCTGTTAATTGTGTATTGTTAGGCATCAAATTGCTGCCTGGTTGTAAGTCACCTTGAGTCACCTTCGGGTTCGAGAAAGGTGGGAAAGAAATACAGTAAAATAAATAAATAAAGGTGCTTAGGCCCCAGTTATGGAGTAGTAAAGAGTGGGACACTGAGGGACATTAGACTCTATTGCAAGAACATGAAGTACTTGTTCTCAGGGAGCAATCATGGCTGGTTTTTTGAATAAATGTTCCATTTTTGTTGAAGGCCTTTCAACAGAGGCAACACAACCATGGTTTGGGAGACTGGACATGAAAAGCTACAAGGACACCAGAAACCCTAGGCTTCTGTGGAAGACACAGTTTACATCTATGAATTACAGTGTTTACACCTATGAATTGTAGAGTTTTCTTCTCCTAACTCAATGGTTCTCAACCTGTGGGTCCCCTGATGTTTTGGCCTTCAACTCCCAGAGCTGGTAAACTGGCTGGGATTTGTAGGCCAAAACACCTGGGGACCCACAGGTTGAGAACCACTGTCCTAACCCAAAAGGTTGAAGAAAAGAGTCACTTCTTCTTGGCACAAGACTATGTTAGACTCAGGAGAAGATCTCCTGCCATTAACCATGTATTGAGATAATCAAAACAAGAACCCAACATTGTGAAAAATTCCAATGAATTTGGAGGATAGGAGCCCCCGGTGAAGCAATGGGTTAAACCCTTATGCCGGCAGGACTGCTGACAGACAGGCTAGCGGTTCGAATCTGGGGAGAGTGGGTTAAGCTCCCTCTGTCAGCTCTAGCTCCCCATGTAGAGACATGAGAGAAGCCTCCCACAAGGATGATAAAATATCAAACATCCAGGCATCCCCTGCTTTTTGAAATGGAAGGATTTTTTGAGCAGACGAGGGATGCAAAAGAAAGAACAAGGCCCCGGAGGCTCAATGATTATCATTTTGCCCAGTGGAAATCCAGGTGTGTTCAGGCCTGCTGCCTTCTCTGCTACAGACTTAACTTCTATTGCAAATGCTCTGGACTTTCTTGGCAAACCAATGGGTGTGCATTCTCCCATAGGAAGAAATGGGTTCTTACCTTAGCTTAAACACATGCTTTTTCTTTTTGTATTCCACTGCCACTTCACACACTGCTTCTTTCAGACTCACGGGGATCTCGCTGTGGTAAGGAATGCCCGAGGAAGCCGCTTTTGCATCTTTGTAAAAGCCCATCTCCTGGTTGTTGATAACGCAGTAGACATTATGCCAGGATCTTGTAAAGCAAAGGAAACAACAAGGGAAACATTAAGATCATCCCTCTATTTTTTTTAAAATCTGCTTTGCATTACATAACAAATCATAATCTTTTCCTGAGAAATAAATTCAAATGTTGTATATATGGATGACACAGTTAGAGATATACTGGTTAATCCCAACTAGAGTGATTCCAGAGCTTGGGAAAGTTGCATTTCGAATTTAAGCTCTCAATAAACCCATTCCATGGCTAGAAAAAGGAACTTTTCCAAGCTTCGGTCAGTGCTTTATCACCTGGAGCAAACATTATTGGAATTATAAACCTGAATCAACAAATGATATGTACATGAGTTAACTTATTATTCTAGACAGGAGTGCATGGGGAGGGTCACTGTGTCTAGATTTATGTTTGGAGTCTTTTGCTTACGAGACAGAAGAGGACAAAAATCAAACCAATCAGGACATCATTTACTCAGAGTTCAAATACGATACCTGTTTGAGGCCTTCTTGTTGTGTGACTCCCACTCATGCTTACGGTGCAAAAAGCCCTCCATCTGAGCTGGAGGCGTCTCTTGCGTTTTGGCCGGGAGGGTGGCCGCGGTCTGGGCCTGGAGGCCAGCCTTGCCTTTGCGATCTGCTGTCGGTGAAGGAACGGGACTCGTCTCTTTGGAACTTGTCCGCTGGTCTGCTGCTCCGTTGACCATTTCACCGCCTTCTCTTGCTTCTCCCATCTAAGAAACAAGATTGGATCAAACATATAACGGTTGTCTGTCAACAAAGTCTCAAAAAGCATTTTCCCTTTTGAAATGTTTTCATTTTCAAAATGAAATGTTTTCATTTGCAAAATCACACACACTCTGTGTACAAAAGCTCAGCTCGTCCAGTAAAACTATTCTCACGCCCCATTGGAGAAACAGAGGGCCAGAGGAATTAGAAAGTTATCACCAGATTAGTACCCAAATTGACAAAAGTGAAGCAGGAAGGAGGGGGTAATCCATCTGTGAGAGTTTTACCGTACTTGGCTCTGCTATCAAATCTGCAATATGTTTTGATCTAGCCAATGCAAACCGTACATGCAATAAGGACTTTTCCATTCGTGGCTACAGGGAATGGTAGATTTTCCCATTCTGAATTTGATATAAAGGGACGCGTGGTCCCATTTTTCAATCTGCAAGCATTTTTAACAGCTCAAATACTGCAACAGTAAGAATCTCACTTTTGTAGTTTGGAAAGAAGAGAAAGGGTGGAAAAATCCATCAATCACTTTTCCTACATCTATAAAATTACTGCAACCAAATCTGTACGGTAATCCTAAAGATGCATTAAAGCAGCGAAAGATTACAATCCAATCAGCAGCATTCCCCATGATTTGGCACAGAACTCCTGATTAGCGTCTCCAAACAAAGGTTCCTTCCCCTCCGTGCCATTGACCACCTGCCCCATCCCAAAAGTGACATAATCAAAAGACAACATGCAGAAACCGGGGAGAGGAGAGCATGCATTTCATCATGGCCACCACCCTTGTTATAGGATTTTGAGGTTTCAAAGGCAGGCAAGGTGGAAGGGGAAGAGGAAGGTGGAACAAGGTAGATCACAAGTCAAAAGGTTATATATAATTCATTTCAAAGTCTCTGTATTATTTGACTTTGGAATTGGGTGGATTGGATGGGAGGTTAAAGGAACTAGGAAGAACACTACAACCACTCAACGTCACACGTCTATTTACCCCCAAACAAAGACAGAACCAAGGCTTTGGCCATCGCTTGCTTTGCCGGTCCCGTTGCCCGTTGTACCGTAACTGAGTTGCCTAGTGGGGCCCAGCTCTGACTGGTCACCTTCTTGATGTCTTCAGCGGCCATTTCATTCCCCCAAATCATTTACAACCGGAATCCTGAAAGCTTTAAACTTTCACAACAAGTGGCTTGGTCCCAGTTGGGATAAATAACGTTTACCAAGGATTGGGGGACTTTCGGTTTGGTGCCACAGAGAAGCCATTGGTAGCAGCCCACGAAGGGTTACACGACTGGAGTGTAGGGATGGGGATTAGCAAGTTACTAAAGCCTAGCGCTGCTCAGTGCTGGAGGAGTAGTAGATTACAAAACACTCTGTGCCATTTTTACATTGAGGACAGCAGGACTTTGGAATGGGTATCATCATTAAAATACTTATTTTGCTTCTATGACCAGGTTTAGGACAATTCAGAAGCAGGAGAAAAATGATGCAGGAAGCCATACATTTGCCAGTTTTATGAGAATGGTTGAATCTGATTATTTCGGATGGTGGTTATTGCTCTTCTTATAAACTAGTGATGTTGGTCAAGCACTTGATGGCAAATGTGTTGCCATATCTATGCTTTTCATCTCTTCCTGTGAGAGGCTCACTTGGCCCCTTTCAATCCAGCCTCCAGAAGTAGTATTATTAAAATTGCGGTTTAGATAAGTTGTTTACATCCTCTGACCAGATTTTATATAGGATATTGCCATTTTACAGTACATTAGCACTTTTAAAAAGAGCTGCTTTAATGCCTATACCACTTTATATACATATCTATAAAAATAGCCTCATTTTATGGGTTGTTGTAGGTTTGTTCGGGCTATATGGCCATGTTCTAGAGGCATTCTCTCCTGATGTTTCGCCTGCATCTATGGCAAGCATCCTCAGAGGTAGTGAGCCTCATTTTAATAAGGAGCCGCAGTGGTACAATGTGTTAAACCCTTGTGCTGGTTGAACTGCTGACCTGTCTATCAACCCCAGCTTCTCATGCAGGAACATGAGAGAAGCCTTCCATAGGATGGTAACACATCCAGATGTCCCCTGAGCAGTGTCCTTGCAGATGGCAAATTCTCTCACACCAGAAGTGACTTGCAGTCTCTCAAGTTGCTTCTGACATGAAAAAAAAACCCCTCATTTTAATACCAGCATGTCCCTTGAAAAAAATACATTCAGAAATCCAATTCTTGCCACCAAGAAAGAAGAGTGCCAGTTCCACATGTGCATATAATTTATATCATTTGTTATAATTTAATCTGGTCCTAGAACTTGGTTACTTTATGGATCCTTTCTTTAAGTTCCAGTCCTATCCATATTTATCAGTTCTAACCATGGGCCATTAAAGAGAATTTGTATTTGTTATTTGAACTTTGGTTAAGTACATTTTGTGAGCTGCCTTGAGTCCCATCCCATGGGAAAGGTGGAGCATACATTAAAAGAAATTTTAAAAATGTAACTAGCCTGGAAGTAAACTCCACTGAATTCAGTGGGCTTACCTCCATGTAGATGTGTACAGTCAGTCCTCCATATTTGCTGCGGTTAGGGGCATGGGACCCCTGCGGAAGTGGAAAAACCACAAATATATATATACATATAAACACTTTTTTAACCTTTGAGAACACCTTGGTGTGACTCTATGACCAACTTCTGGCAGAAACTGAGAACAGAGTCACATTGGAGGCCTAGAGATTTTTAAAAAGACCATATTAATAAAATTGACAAATAATCAAATCCACAAAAGCTAAATACCCCCCCCCCCCACCAAATGTGGAGGACTGACTGTACAGGCCTAAATTATAAACCATATTGGAACCTACTATAGATGTCTGATATTTATCTTTCTCCTTGACCCATTAAACATACAAAAAGGACACAAGTCGTCACTTTTCATGGGAACTTTTAGTTCTCCATCTAGCGCAGTGGTTCTCAACCTGTGGGTCCCCAGATGTTTTGGCCTTCAATTCCCAGAAAGCCTTTGGGCTGAGAAAGGTGGTATACAAATGTGGTAAATAAATAAATAAAATCCTAACAACTGGTAAACTGTCTGGGATTTCTGGGAGTTGTAGGCCAAAACACCTGGGGACTCACAGGTGAGAAACACTGATCTAGTAGGTACCAGTCATCAAATTCATTATTCCCCTCCCCATGAAAAGGCTTATAATGCCAACAAGACCTCTGAAAAGTTACTTTTGGGGCTACACTGTACATAGTTTTCCAGTTAGCATGACTACCGTGTGGTGCAAAACTCCCAAAAAGTAATGTTTCCAGTTTCTAACAAATCTGGTTTTGGCTGAGTAAAATAATGGAGTATTTCTTAACTGTATTGTCGAAGGCTTTCATGGCCGGAATCACTGGGTTGTTGTAGGTTTTTTCAGGCTATATGGCCATGTTCTAATGGCATTTTCTCCTGACGTTTCACCTGCATCTATGGCAAGCATCCTCAGAGGTAGCTTTAGAACATGGTCATATAGCCCGAAAAAACCTACAACAACCCAGTATTTCTTAACTGACAATTACTCTAATTTAGGAACTTATTTGGGAAAAGATTATGAGAATGGGATTCCTTGATGGTATTTTAGGAAAACCAGACAGATATTCTATCAATGACCCTGATATAATGGGCAGTGGTTTCCATGTTTGGTTCACTATATGCTATTGGCTTGCAGTTGCCAGAAAACCTACTACTAACCATATTGGCTGTGTTTTTCTGGGAGTCAAATCCAACAACACTGCAGGGCCTTTTGTTGATGTACAGCTGGGTGGGAATGCAAAGACAGAGATCCATGGGATTCCTCTCATTAAGCTCCCATCAACTGCAACATAAGGGAACTGGATTTATATGGCATCCTGAGAACTTTTAATACAGGGTAGAATGTGCATAGTAAGGGTAAAGGTTTCCCCTTGACATTAAGTCTAGTCATGTCCAACTCTGGAGGGTGGTGTTCATCTCTATTTCTAAGCCAAAGAGCTGGCGTTGTCCGTAGATGCCTCCACGGTCATGTGGCCAGGATGGAGTGTCATTACTTTCCCGCCAGAGCAGTATCTATTGATCTACTCACATTTGCACAATTTGAACTACTAGGTCGATAGCAATATGAGTAGATATAAATAGGTACCGCTTTGGTGGAGAGGTAATAAAAGGCACCCATGAGGACATGCCGGCTGATTCAATCGGGAGAACATCTAAGGACAACAAAACCCCTCGGTATGGAAAATGAAGTGTCAGCACACCCCACTCCCACATGGGGCCAGAGTTGAGCACAGCCTCCAGATGCCGGAGATGGAAAAAGATGGGAAGGCTTTACCTCTGTTTATGTACTATCTGTCTTTGTTAATTGTATAATAATAATTAATGTTTGCCGTGTATGTGTACTGTAATCCACCCCGACTCCCCTCAGGGAGATAGGGCGAAATATAAATAAAATATATTATTATTTATTATTATTCAGGAAAAATTATGTTTCTTTTGGATCCTAGGTTGCTTGTTCTGGCAAAGGGATGGGCAGGAAAGGAAGGAAATGTTGCTACTACAATTCAGAATTGCTGCAAATCTGGCTTTAAATTAACTACTCTGTTTATATTGTCGAAGGCTTTCATGGCCGGAATCACTGGGTTGTTGTAGGTTTTTTTCAGGCTATACGGCCATGTTCTAGAGGCATTCTCTCCTGACGTTTCGCCTGCATCTATGGCAAGCATCCTCAGAGGTTGTGAGGTCATATATCTACTCATATTACTACTCTGTTACCATCTTCTTAAATATCTTGGTATTTTTAGGTGGGAATATTTGTGTGGCCTATTTTTTTACTTGACAGATGGAACACATCAAAACAAAACAGAAACAACAGAAAACATGTATGCAAACAATGCATGATGACATCAGGTGGGGAAAACAAAATAGAGCTAAATAAACCTTTAATGGAAAACATGCTTTGAGCATGCAGAGACAATGCCATGGGTGACAATGGTTAATAAAGACAACAAAACAAAAACCAAGGAACACAAGCATGTTATCAATACATAATTTTCAGCACTGGAAGGTTACTTGCAAATCAGTTTTAGTGGCTCACTTGTTCTTGAGGTATGTAAATCCTGACTGTAAGATGCAACGTGGGAGCAGCAGGGGAACAAGTAACTTGGAACACCTCCCCTCTGCTTTTCAAAGTGCATGAATAAATATTGCGGTTGCATGCCCTCAAGCTGATTTCCCGACTTATGGCGACCCTATCATGGGGTTTTCTTGGCAAGGTTTGTCCAGAGGGAGGTTGCCTTTGTCTCCCTCTGAGGTTGAGAAAATGTGACTTGCCTAAGGTCACCCAATAGGTTTTCATGGCTGAGCAAAGATTCAAACCCTGTTCTCCGGGATGCTAGTCCCATGCTCAGACCATTCCATCATACTGAGTCTCATGAATAAACAATATATTCAATTCACTTGAGTCTCTCAATCTTTACCCCCAAAATCAAAGCTACTCACACATTGTTTTGTTAACTAGGTCATTTTTGGGGGAGTGGGCTGAAAAATGTAGGTTTTTACAGAAAACCACATTGTCCCTCCATGTCTAGAATTCAGAATAAACCCATTTTACGCTGAATGTTGGCTCTACATAGCCAAAACTGCTATATAGAACGTCCTTTAGGCATTTGTGGCTGCAAAACAGAATAGCTTTGACCATTCATTCCCTTCTCTAAGGGTCAAAAAGGTTTCAATTTCTGTATTCTTTAATGCACTTTGAGGGGGGGGGGGGGGAGACCGAACACTGGTGTAATGGAAGCACCAAAACATATAAATACATTGAAAAAAAAGGAAAACTAAAAAGCAGTAAGGTGCTATATGCTGATATCCTGACAAGAGAGAAAGAAAAAACATAGAGAAAGATGCTCATGATAATGAAGAAAGATATGGTTGCATGAAAGTATACAATTCCTACATGTAGTGCATGAGGCTGGTAAACAATAAACGACATAAACTAGCCCTTATTCATAGCGAAGGTTAGAACAGAAATACTTTTAAAATAACACAAATCATAATACATAGTGCAAAACAACAATTAAGCTAGGAGAAATCTCAGGAACCCCAATGTTTCTTAATACTCCATCAATATGTATTCAACTGTGGGAATCTCCCACTGGCTTTGCCTTGATCTCATAGTCCTCAATATGCATGATTACTATATAGTAGTAAACTCTTAGTTATGTAATTTTTAACCATCTTTTTCATTATTCAAGCTCAAAGGCAATCAAATGGGGTTTTAAAAAACAAATTGTGGCTATGTTAGTATGATCTGCATATGTTACCAAGAGGATTGGACACTAGATTACAATGTGTTTTCAGTTTCATTTGGTGGTATTGCTTAATTGCCTCTGATATGAATCTAGCGACATTATTTTTAGATTTTCTTCACCACTAATTACAACACCAAGGCTCTGCATGTAGAATTATGGAAAGAACAACACATTCTTGGAGAGAACTGCATTTCTTAAGATTCCCTGGAGAGTACAGATAAACAGTGGGAATCATGTGACCCTCTAGATCAGTAATTCTCAACCTGTGGGTCCCCAGATGTTTTGGCCTTCAACTCCCAGATGTCCAAACAGGTGGTAAACTGGTTGAGATTTCTGGGAGTTGTAGGCCAAAACACCTGGGGACCCACAGGTTGAGAACCACTGCTCTAGATGTTGTTGGACTGCAATTTTCATCACTCCTCATCATTGCCTATGTCAGCTAGGACAGCTGACAACTTGAGTCCAACAACTTCTGGAAAGCCACCACCATTCCCATCTCAAGGGTAACTGCACCCAGATATTTCTTTACTGCAGGTTCCCAACTGTTGGTCCTCCAGTTATTTTGGACTTCAACTCTCAGAAATTCCAGCTAGTTTACCAGCTGTTAGGAATTGTGGGAGCTGAAGTGCAAAACACTTGGAGGACCAAAGGTTTGGGAACTACTGCTTTACTGAATATATCATTTTTGAAACCCATGTCATGGTCTTCAGAAAGTGGCTACCTCACTGAACTGCTATAAGGGTAACATGAGATGATGTCAGCATTGCTGTTGTGTGCCTTTGAGCCATCTGATTTCTGGAGACCTTAATAGGTTTTCTTGGCAAAGTTTGTTCAGGGAGAGGTTGCCATTGCCATCCTCTGAGGTTGAAAGGGAATGACTAGCCAGTGGATTTTCATGAACAAGCATGGATTCAACAGAGTTGGTTTCCAGAGTTGTAGTCCAACTCATGCTGCCCACTGTCAACAACTTTCCTAACCTGTGCTTCCTCCTCTGAGAAAGAAAGCTAGAAACAATGAAAATATATTTTAGAACTCAACTATGAATTGCCCTTAATGGTATTAAGATTTTCAGTAAGGCTTACTCCTGTGGCCTGAAAGCCCTTGTGTGCAAAAACTATCTATCCGATTCCCTTTACAGTCAAATTTGGTCAAACATTCTGGTTGAATAAACCACCACATGTACTAACCGCATATTGATGCTTGCAACTCGTGGGAGCACGTAAACAAACCAGGAAGGAAGAGGTTAAAGGGCTTAATTTTAAAAATGCTCAGAGACTTCAAGAAGTTCTTGTGGTACTTCTTGAAGTCCTCATGTACAACAAGTTAAACATGAGCCAACAATGTGATGCGGCAGCTAAAAAAGTCAATGGGATTTTGTCCTGAACAAATAGGAGTCTAGTGTCTAGATCCAGGGAAGTCATACTGCCTTGGTCAGACTACATTGGAATAGTGTGTCCAATTCTGGGCATCGCAACTGAAGGGAGATGTTGACAAGGTGGAATGTGTCCAGATGAGGTCAACTAAAATGATCAAGGGTCTGGAGAACAAGCCTCTGAGGAGTGGCTTAAAGAGTTGGACATGTTTAGCCTGCAGAAGAGAAGGCTGAGAGGAGACATCATGAGGGCCATGTATAAAGATGAGAGGAGAAGTCATAGGGAGGAGGTGAGCAAGCTTGTTTTCTGCTGTCTTGGAGACCAGGATGCAGAACAATGGCTTCAAACTACAGGAAAGGACATTCCACCTGAACATGAGGAAGAACTGTGAGAGCTGATCAGCAGTGGAACTCTGCTCCAGAGTGTGGTGGAGGCTCCTTCTTTGGAGGCTTTTAAACAGAGGCTGGATGGCCATCTGTCGGGGATGCTTTGAATGCAATTTCCCTGCTTCTTGGCAGGGGGTTGGACTTGATGGTCCATGAGGTCGCTTCCATCTCTATGATTCTATGATTCTAAGTCAACTGGCTGACTGATAGTTTACAAAGATTGGGATCTTTGGATGCATTTACTCGTACTTCCAGGTTTGTGAACTGTCTCAACCTTTCCTTTCTGTTTTATTCACTCCTCTCACGAAGGTAGACGTGGATGGGTAAAACATACCATTGTACAACTTGTTCACCAAACCAGAATTTTTGGCTGAAGGAGAGATGTGAATGAAGTCTCTGGCTGTCTAGCATCCTTCATCTGCATGGATTGCTCCCTTCACCTCAAATCATATGCCCTTCTTTTAGAGGCTGTATGTAAGGGGATACAAGTGGGACATTTTATGAGTTCCCATTGATTTCCAGGAAGATTATTTCTTATAGAATGACTGAATTTTACATTTTATATCTGGAGGGTTTGGACAGTGCATTATGGGAAGAATATGGTCTCCTAGTTAGGTAAAAATGACACTTGAAAGCAAAGCCAAAGATATAGTTAACTATTAATTTGGAGCATCTACTATTTAGCCTTTTTCCTATGGATCATATTATTGGAATGTTAACTTATTTTTAGGACAGGGATGGGCAACCTCCAGAGGGCCAAATCTGCTTCTCCTGAACCTTAGAGAGCTACATACACCTTTCACTCCCATTTTCTGCCCCACTTGCAAAAAATATGCTGGCTAAATGTCACTTGGGTTTGAGGGAATTGTGACTAGCTTCCTGGGGCCATTCCTGTACTCACAACCCTGTTTTAAGCTCATTGGTGCCATGAAATAAAAACTGAGACTAAACTGTGAAATACTATGCTTGGAGGCTTTGGGGAGCTGATTTTTGAGATGGGAGGAAAGGGTAGAAGGGACACAGACAGATCACCAACTGCAGTGTGCCTATCCTCTGTTTTGTTTTTAATTCATCTTCCCCTCTCCAGCTCTTCTGCAAAGTGCCTCCTGTCTCTAAAATTTGGATTGCATCCGCAACACATTTGCTCATAGGGCAGCTGGTTTGCTAGCACTGTGAGATTCAATTCTGTTAGTATAGCTAGAAGCATCATACCTGTCAAGTCTCTAAGTTCTCGTCTTCCATTATGATGAAATCTCATTAAATTTCAATTACTCACATAAAGAGATGGCTTTCGCTGCAAAGATCTCAAGGCTATTAACAACATGGAAAAAAACTCACAACAAACAATCATGAAAGAAAAGCGGTGTCGCAGTGCAACCAAGGGCCTGAAGGCATCTGAAGCATTAAAATCAGGGAAGAATACATATGGTCAAGAGGATGGGTCGCTGGGGGTGTGTGGTGGCTACTCATTAAATAAAAGCTGAACAGGCTGCAGGCGTTGGTGGGGAGAGAAAGCAAAGGGGACATGAAGGCCATCAAAACCAAAGAGAAACTGAAAGAAAAGCAGGCCATGGCCTCCTGCAGATAGCACTGTGTCTCAGAGTCCAGACCGAGGCCGGTCGCTAGCTGTCCATCTGCTATTAAAGTTTTTGTAGTTTTGGTAGGTTTGGGAGCGGTAACTAACCCGGGGAGATTCTTGATCTGGTGGCAAACCATTCTGGGAAACCTGCTCTCCTTTTGTACCGTCCCTGTTGGAAGAAAAGAAAAAGAAGCACAAAAGTAATAGGTTAGACCATCTGCTCAACCGACTCACATTAAGAGGCATTTGGGTACATTGGTCAAGCATCTAGCATGCTGATGGAAGACCCTGCTCTAGGCAATGTTCTTCGGCACCACACTCATTTCACATGGGGCAGATATGTTGGGTTTTGATAACTTACTATGAACTGAGTGTCTTTTACGCAAAATACACCCTCCCCACAACAAAATGAAGGGCAAATGGCAGATTTCATATCAGTGGGCCAGTTTGTTTACTTTAGTTTAATGCAGTGCTACTCAAAATTAGGTCCATGGGCAAAGGTTGGTCCCAAGTTAATAGCTTCTGGTCTCTGGAGTTTCTAGGACAGAGGCTAACAATTGTGGCCAACGGAAACAAATACAATACCAGTACAGATGGCCTTCTCGGTAGTGACTCCCCAGCTCTGGAATACCCTTCCTAAAGAAATTAGATTAGCCCCCTCTCTTCAGGCTTTTCAGGTCAGTCATGGCTCTTAATACATTCCTTTGATCATGAGTAATTCATGGTCAATGTGATGAATCATTGATAGTACCGTCCATATTTTGATTGTTACGACAAATAGCCAGTTTACCCACAGGTTCTACTGTGCTTTAATTTTTTAAATAGTTTTTATATTTTTCTAATTTTATCAGTGAGATGTTTATACACTGTTGATTGTACTTATGTCACTGTATATACTTATGTATTATTGTCTATATGTGGCACTTGGGGTGCTTCTGTGAGCCACCCTGAGTCCCTTTTGGGAGATGGTGCAAGGTACAAAGAAAGATTATTATTGTTATTGTTATTGTTATTATTATTGTTGTTGTTGTTGTTGTTGTTGTTGTTGTTGTTGTTGTTGTTGTTATTATTATTATTATTATTATTATTATTATTATTATTATTATTATTATGAAACACGAGGAAAAAATGCCCATGAGCCACATAGATAGCTCAAGCAGCACTCTGGACTAAGGGAGCTATCTAAAATGCTGAACCTATTTGGAAGCGGAAGAACCTTCTCCAAGAGCTAGATGCAACTCCATTCACACATAGTCACCCTCTATACTCTTGCTTGGATTTCTGCAGGGATTTTGTGTATGCAGAGGAGAAGCTCTCTCTGTTTCTTGAGTTGGCTTGAAAAATACCATATACTTAAGAGTCTGAAAATGTTTTTGGATTAGAACATACCCAGGAACCATGGGTAGATTCTGGGAATTGTAATCTTAAAAAGTAACTTGCTCAAGTCTGACATCTGAATCAGTGAAGTACTTCAAATGCATAACTGCCCTTTATGCTGGATGCCACTTAACTTTTTGAGGAGGCACCCAAGTTCACAGCCCATACTCTCAACTGAGATACTACGACTGTGTTTCCTGTACCCTTCTCAAGGCCACCTGCACACTCACCATTGTTGAGACTCCTCTCCAGTTTTGGGGCTTGTTTCTGGAGAAGGAGGCTGTCTCTTCCGCTCTTCCTCTTCTTGCTGCCGACGTACTTCTAACAATTCCAACTAGAGGGAAGGGGGAATTAAGAAGAACAGAAAAGGCTTAAGAAAAGAACAGATTTTCAAGGCTTCCCCTATTTCCAATCATCTTGGCTGTCTGAGACACTCATTGGCTCCCCTGATACTCAGAGCTTGGAAAAGTTACATTTTTGGAATGCAACTTTTAAAATCCCAATTAACAATAGTCAGTGAGTGGCCATACTTGGTAGGAATTCTAGGAGTTCTCATCCCAAAAAGGAACTTTTCCAAGCCTGGCCATACTCTTCTACAAAGGTCACTCTGCTTTCTTTTGCTCTTTTCATTAGACAACCCAGCTACCAAATGGCAGTTGACAATTTGGACACTGAATTCAGATACTTTCGCACTAGATGAAGACAAACACTAATTTCCCAAATGGAAATCAACCAATATTTTACTCAGTATAGTTAACAAATTACTAAATGTATTCATTAACTCAGGCATGGGCAAATTCTGGCCCTCTGGGTGTTTTGGACTTCAACTCCCACCATTCCTAACAGCCTCAGGCTCTTTCCTTTTCACCCTCAGCCACTTAAGCTGTTAGGAATGGTGGGAGTTGAAGTCCAAAACACCTGGAGGATCAGAGTTTGTCCATGCCTGCATTAGCGGAGTCATCTTCCCAAACTCATGCGATTATGGATTTTTAAACCAGAAGACCCTTGAAACTGCCTCTGCAACTCACCGTAGTAAGTCTTTCAAGCGCTGAAAATCTCTCGTCCCAAGTTGCTGCGGATTTCTCAAACGCTTCATGCCTCTTGATCAGTTTTTCCACTTCGTCCACACTTTGCCCTATCTCACGGCTCGACAAGTACGGCTCCTGCCCCAGTAGCCAGGCTTCGGCAACGCTGGCATCCCTTGAGAATTGGTGCACTTCCAAAACTAAGAGAAGGCAAAAGAAAGATTGGAGCCAATGCTATGCAATATGCTCAAGACTCTGAGCACAATGAGTATCTTCTGGAAGACAATGTGTATGATGGATGGGGTTTTGGATATGTCTTTGGCTCCTGATTTGTCATACTGTTGAACAACCAGTTACCGTATATACTCAAGTATAAGATGACACAAATATAAGTCGAGGCATCTAATTTTACCACAAAAAACTGGGAAAATGTATTGACTCGAGTATAAGCCGAGGGTGGGAAATGCAGCAGCTACTGGTAAAATTCAAGATAAAAATCAATACCAATAAAATTACATTAATTGAGGCATCAGTAGGTTTAAATGTTTTTGAATATTTACATAAAACTGTAATTTAAGATCAATCTGTACAACTCTTATTAAGCCATTATTCTAACTTTCTTAAATGTAAACGTGCTTGTTTATCCTTCCAATAATAACAAAGAGAGTAAAATAATAAATGTAAGTAATAATACAAAATAACAATAGAGTAAAATAATGGAAATGTAATAATAACAGTAATAATGGAGTAAAAAAAGTAATAACAACAATAACAAATAGAGTAAAATAATAAATGTAATAATAACAATAATAAATGGAGTAAAATAAATACAGTAATTATAATAAAGAGTAATACAATAAATGTCATAAAAATAATAATAGAGTAAAATAATGGAAATGTAATAATAATAATAATAATGTAAAATAATAAATGTAATAATAATAATAGAGTAAAATAATAAATGTAATAGAATAATAATAGAATAAAATAATAAATAACTTTGACTCGAGTATAAGTCAAGGAGGGCTTTTTCTGCCTACAAAAGGGCTGACAAACTTGGCTTATGTTCAAGTATATATGGTATTTGGAAGCATCCTATATAAGAGCAGGTACTTTCCCTTCCAAGGGACATTCCCGCACAGTGGACACAGGAAATTAACTTTGATTGAAGTCCAAAACACCTTGAGGGCCAGAGATTGCCCATCCCTGGCGTAGATGCACCAACAACTTTCACCCCATAGCTTTAAACTAGATATCCAAATGGATTCAGCATTTTGTATGGCTCTTTTAAAGTTCAGACTAAAGCTGTGCATTGATCCCCTCCATCAGCATTATAACTATCCAGAACATCATTCTGATCTGAAAAAGAGAGCACATTAAAGCGGGAGGAGCCCCACATCCTTTCAAAATAATAGAACACGAATTCTTACTCAGCCTCAGCCACTCCCATCTGTCTTCCCATTTGTCAATCATCTCTTTTCTTTTTTCTGTCAACTGCAGCAGCTTTTCTTTGATCTGAAAGGAATCAGAAAATAAAACTTTACACCTGTATCTTTCTAAATCATTACCACTACCATTAATTGCCACAAAGACACTGCTAGTCTGCTTCTACCAATGGAAACTGGTAGTTCTGAAGTCAATGGGGTGGTAAATCTATTCCAGGGTTTTACCTAAACTTTAAAAGGAGTGGAATGGAGTGCTCAACCCCTTTGGGGGTGACTTCAACCACCCTGAATAGCTCCTTAAAGATTAAAAACAAAGTAAACAGATTTATTTATTTATTTATTTATTTATACGCTTGTATACCGCTAATATCTCAGCCTAAGTCGGCGACTCATTGCGGTTTACAACAATTAAAAACAGTATTCAAATTGAAACATACAACACATATACAATACAAATTATTGAGCCACCAATAATAATCCCATGCATCTCGTAACTAAAATCACAATCCAAGATTCGTCGTCCATGATTACCAGTCCTTTAGTCATCAAAATTCGATTGCAACGGATTAACCGAATGCTTGTTTAAACAACCATGTTTTCAATCTCTTCCGAAACACCATCAGCGAGGAGGCTGATCGTACCTCTATAGGGAGGGTGTTCCAAAGCCGAGGGGCCACCACAGAAAAGGCCCTGTCTCTCGTTCCCGCCAGCCGCACTTGTGAAGCCGGCGGGATAGAGAGCAGGGACTCTCCAGAAGATCTTAGGGTCCTGGTGGGCTGATAGGCTGAGATACGTTCGGATAGATAAGTTGGGCCAGAACCGTTTAGGGCTTTAAAGGCCAACGCCAGCACTTTGAATTGAGCCCGGTAGCATATCGGCAGCCAGTGGAGCTGGTGCAGCAGAGGAGTTGTGTGCTCCCTGCGCCCCGCTCCTGTTAGTATCATGGCTGCCGCCCGTTGGACTAATTGGAGCTTCCGGGCTGTCTTCAAAGGCAACCCCACGTAGAGAGCGTTGCAGTAGTCAAGGCGGGATGTAACCAGAGCGTGGACTACCGTGGCTAAGTCAGACTTCCCAAGGTACGGTCGCAGTTGGCGCACAAGTCCCAGAAATCCCAGCTAGTTTACCAGCTGTTAGGATTTGAGAGTTGAAGGCCAACACATCTGGGATCCCACAGGTTTAGTGGTTCTTCAGTATCTTCAGATTGCTGCTACTCAGTTTCCAAACAGTTTAATGCTGAAACCTGCCTCTGACCTGGGAACCAGGTATCTGAAGAAACATTTACTTATCAGCCTGATTATATACTTAGTTTACTTCCAGAAACAATCTGCTAGTTGTAAAATATTTGATTTGATAAGAGGAACTTTACAGGTATGTCCTTGCTTTGGAATACTGTGCCCAGGAATACCACCTGCACTCAAGCTCTCTTTTAAGCAAAAGGCAGATTGTTTTGAAAGATTTCCAGGCTTTTTAACCTCCTAAACTTTTTCTGTTAAGGCCACCACTTTATTGTGCTATTTTTGATATGGGGAGCAGAGTGATAGACAGACAGACAGAAAGACAGGGTTCATGGGTCATTTCAAGGGGGTCTATAACTGTTTGGTGAAGTCAGAACTATAAGAATAATCTTATAGCTGATCCTTTGGATCTGACATGGTTGTCTTCCTTATGTTTTCTTTTAAGCCACATAACTCTGCGGGCACAGAAAGCACACTGTACCTCTTCTGACGCATAGTGTTTCCTTGCTAGCAATGATTTGCCCAGCTCAATGCAGGTTGTGAAGCTGTCGTTGCGGGCATCTATTTCTGCTTTGATCCCCTGGTGATTGTTCATCAGCAATTCCACAGAGGAAACATCCCTATGATGAAAATGTTACCAGAAAAGGAGGCACAACATTTATAACCATTACGCATAAGGACATTTGCCACAATATCAGAGGAACATATATATTTTGCATAATTAGTTTTTAGTGATTCATGGGAATTAGACTCTATAATAGAATTGTATAGCAGAATGGCATATTCTACTAGATTCTTGCTATGCAAAAACATGCTTCCTTGTATTTGTTGAATCTTTCACCATTCAGCTTCAATGGCAACTCTAAATTTGTGTGTGTTTGTCCCATCTACTCCTTCATACAACACTTAGTAATTTAGACAGTTATCTTGTAAACATTCTCCCACCCTCAGAGGGAGGCAAAGACAATCTTGCCAATTCTAAGAGTTGGGTTCTCCTTAGAATTGTTGTAAGTCATAAATGAGCTGAAAACACACAACAATTATTATTTCAACTGCACTATGTTAATAGATTTATTTATTTTGCATCAAAAGCATTGCATAAATTAGTATAAAAATATAAAAAGCACAAGCGGCTAAATATCTAATTTGACCCAAAATGGGCAACAGTGACTGCATTGTCTGTAGCCTCATACAATTCTTCCTCTGTACATGAGGCAGGAGATTGCAGACATGCATACAGATGTGGAGTTAGTTGTCTGTTCTGCTCCACAGTCACACAAGGTAATGCCTTGTCACACAAGGTAACACAAGGTAATGCTTTTAGGTAATGCCATTTTGTCAGGTTGTCTTTTGATCTGCCAACTCCACTTCTGAGTCTGTTCAGGGACTTCCATGTTGCCCATTCTTGGTTTCCCCTGGAGGCAGACCCTCATGGGGGGCCATCCAATTGGGATTCCTGGTTTAGTTGCCAAGAAGGATACCCTATCTGTTGCTGGGGGAAAATTAAGAGAAGTGGTGGCTTTCATGAAGCTTTTCCTTGATTTGTGTCTGCTGGGAGGAGGCTGATAGCTATATAGTGGATGGCTTTCACAGTGTTCAACCTTATTTATCTCCCAGTTAGCAGCAACGTCTTGTAGCATTGAAGCACATTGGGGGGGGGGGGRGGGAGAATACCAGCTAGCTTTAGGAGTTTATCAACAGGTGTTGGTTTAAGACATCCTGTGATTACTCTGCATGTTTTGTTCAATGCTATGTTCACCTGCTTCGCATGGGTAGACTTGTTTTTATGTTCATGGTGAAAATGGTTTCTTCACATCTGTTTTCCTCCTTGTGCTGGTGGAAATTCTATTGAGATATCAGTATAAGAGGGAACTATTCATCCCTGTACTTGAGAGTATACATTCAAATTAATTCCACATACTCTAGCTACTAAATCGATAGTTGTAGTCTCAAAAGTAACCTTCCCAAGATAATGTGGTGAGCTAGCTTAGCGTCTGGCCTCTAACTGCTATGTATGTTCTTGGATGTAAACTTAAACCTCTCAAGTCCAATTAAATGCAAACACCGAATTTGCTTAAGACTCTTCTGAGTACAAGATTAAGTCTTATCTGCAGAAATCTCTTTCATACAATAAGGCCTACAGCTAAAGATTCAGCTTATTATCCCAGGTTACCTTGGCTTCTCCTGGGCTTCAATCTGGCGAATGACATCCTCCATCCAAAGCATGAGATCGCGAACCATGCTAAAGAAGCGGAACTTGTCACCGGTATCTACGAGCTTGACCCTGCGCCCTTCACAGGCATCAAGCAAGGCCTTCCATGCATCCAGAACCTCATTTTCACGCCTCTGGATATCATCTGCCTTATCTCCAGCATAGGCAGACTGAAGGCGGGCAGCATCTTCCTGCAGCTGTCTCACCTAGAATGAGGAAAAGAGAAACATCTCAGCTAAAACCGTTGGGTAGGTCTTTATGCCTGAGGTGTTAGTATGCTCTGCTGTAATGGAAACATCAAAAGACAGAACATATACTTCATATCCTCATTAGCTGCATAATTCATCTCTTTGGGAAGCCCAGTTTTGAATTACAATGCAAACATCAACAGCAAGCCACTAACAATATGTTTCAAAATATACAGCCACATTCATGGGTTTAACTTCTGCAGATTTGATTATTTGTAGATCTCTAGGAATTTCTAGGTTTTCCAATTTTACTCTATGGCCAACTTCTGATGGAAGTTGACTGTAAGTGTTGTGCTGGAGGACCTAGTGATCCCTAAAGACAGCACTTCTGTAGGAATCTGCAGATCCTCCAACACAACTTTATTATCAACTTCAGGTAAAAAAACAACCCTCGTTTTTCAATTTATGTTTTTCTACTTTTGCAAGTGTTTTGCACCTCTATTCCCAGCAAAAATTTAGGCCTACATTATATGTTGTTCTGATATGCCCACCTGCGTTCCTAAGGCTTGAATGTCATGTTCAAATGTTGTATGCATCCTCTGCAGTGTTTCCACTGTGTTTTGATCCCTTCCCAGCTCCTCGGGCAGTTTCTTGTGTTTGTCCTGTATCCGTCCAAAGATCTCCTTGGCATCGTGGTAGAATTTATGCAGTTCGTAGGAGGCTGCCAGGATCTGTGTTCTTGTGTCAATGAGTTCCAGGAGGTCCGCCCAGGCCTCATTGAGACCATCCTTCCACTCAGCGATGGTGGCAGCGTCTGAGTGTCCAGAATTGATCAGCTCATCAGCCATGTGGTTTACGGCATCAACGCGTTCCTGTCCGATGTTCCCAGTGTCTCGGGCAAATTCGCGGAACCGCTCTTGCAACATCTGGAAACAGAAAAATTCTTTAGCAAATGGAGTCTTGAGAAATATAGAGAACATCTATGTATATAATAAAGGTGAAAGTTTGTATGTGGAGGACAAAAGTGTGGCGGTGCGACGGGAGGAGTATGTGCCAGCGTTTTGATTGGCCAGCCTGAAAGTTCCAACATTCTGATTGGCTGCCGCAGTGGTGCTATTTGCATATGGTCTCTGATTGGCCAGCTTCAATAGGAGCCCCTGGTGGAGAAAAGAGTTCATGGCAGAAACGGGGACATGAGAAGGAAATTTGCATATGGTCTCTGATTGGCCAGCCTCAATTCCAAGATTCAGAGATGACTAAGAGAGGAAAGGAAAAGGCCAGAGGGGGCTGAGTCAGACAATTACCAATACAGACTACACTTGGCACACAGAGCCTGCATGACCCACTCGACATCCTACTGCAACCATGGATGATGGGACTTGCAGTACCATCACTCACATTCTGAGACCGCTGTTAACCTCTTCCAATGACTGATCAGGACCAAACTTGGCACATAGGCCTCTCATGACCCACTTTACGCCTGGTGTGGTTTGGCGGGGGATGGACCATGGATTATGGGACTTGCAGTACCTTTGCTCAATTCTTGAGACCACTGCAACCCTCATCCAATTACCGATAAAGACCAAACTTGGCACACTGAGTCTCCATGACCCACTCTACATCCTGGAGTGGCTTGGAGGAGAATGCACCATGGATGATGGGACTTGCAATACCTGCACTCCCTTCCTAAAACCATTATAACTGCCAACAATGATAGATCAGGACCACAATTTACACAGAGAGCCCGCATAACCCACTCTACATCCTGGTGCGGTTTGGAAGAATTTGACAATGGATGATGGGACTTGCAGTCACTTCACTCACTTCCTGAGACCACTGAGACCCTCGCCAATGACTGATCAAGACCAAACTTGGCACACAGTCCCCATTACCCACTCTACATCCTGGTGCACTTTCGAGGAGGACAGACCATGGATGATGGGACTTCAAGTACCTCCACTCTCTTCCCAAGACTGCTGCAACCCTCATCTAATGTCCGAACAAAACCAAACTTGGCACACAGAGCCCCCATGACCCACTCTACATCCTACTGCGGTTTGGAGTAGGGCATACCATGGATGATGGGACTTGAAGTACCTCTACTCGCTTTCCGAGACTGCTGCGACCCTCAACAATGACTGAAGAACACCAAACATGGCACATAGACCTCTCATGACCCACTTTACGCGCTGGTGTGGTTTGACTGTGGATCAAGCATGGATTATGGGACTTGCAGTACCTTCACTCAATTCCTGAGACCACTGCAACCATCATCCAATTTCCGATAAGGACCAAACTTGGCACACCGGGTCTCCATGATGCACTCTACATCCTGGTGCGGTTTGGAGGATGATGCACCATGGACGATGGGACTTGCAGTTCCTTCACTCACTTAGTGAAACTACTGAGACCCTCATCCAATGACTGATGAAGACCAAACTTGGCACACAGAACCCCCATGGCCAACTCAACATTCTGGTGAGGTTTGGGGGAGAACAGACTATGGATGATGGGATTTCAAGTACCTCCACACACTTCCCAAGACTGCTGCAACCCTCATCTAATGACCAATCAAGACCAAACTTGGCACACAGAGCCCCCATGAGAGACTCTACATCCCTGGTGCTGTTTGGAGGAGGACGGACGATGGATGATGGGACTTGCAGTACCTTCACTCACTTCCTGAAACCACAGTGACACTCATCCAAATACCAAGAAAGACCAAACTTGGCACAGAGAGCCCCCATGGCCAACTCAACATTCTGGTGATGTTTGAGGGAGACTATGGATGATGGGACTTGCAGTACCTTAACTCACTTTCTGAGACTGCTGTGACTCTCATCCAATGACTGATCAAGACCAAACTTAGCACACAGAGCCCCCATGACCCTCTCTCCATCCTGGTGCAGTTTGGAAGACGATGGACCACAGATGATGGGACTCACAGTACCTTCACTAACTTCCTGAGACCACTGCGAGCCATATAAATAACTGATAAACACCAACCTTGATATACAATTCCTTTCTCTAATAACCCGGGCAGCGCCGGGTCCCCAAGCTAGTGAAATAATAAATAAGAAAAAGCGCAAAGGCCTTATGTTCAAATTTCCCCTTTAGTGATACTTTAGTGCTGGGATTGGGCAACATTTAGGAGTTCAGGACCAATTTTCCCCATTCAGAATCTTCTTTTGGCTGTTAGGTAAAGGTAAAGGTAGTCCCCTGACTTTAAGTCCAGTCATGTCTGACTCTGGGGTGTGGTGCTCATCTCCATTTCTAAGCCGAAGAGCCAGCGTTGTCCATAGACACCTCCAAGGTCATGTGGCCGGCATGACTGCATGGAGAGCCGTTACCTTCCCGCCGGAGCGGTACCTATTGATCTACTCACATTTGCATGTTTTCGAACTGCTAGGTTGGCAGAAGCTAGGGCTGACAGCGGAAGCTCACGCCGCTCCCCGGAATCGAACCTGCGACGTTTCGATCAACAAGCTCAGCAGTTCAGTGCTTTAACCCACTGCGCCACCGGGGGCTGTTACCTTTACCCAAACCAAAAAATGAAATGGCCTGAAAACACCCTGTTCCATATAATATCATTTTGGGTGGCAAAGCAAGGCACAGCAAGGTATAGCTTGTTTTAAAAGAGAAATGCTGCTCTAGGGGATTCAAAGAATGGGCTTTCTCCATGTTTTGAATAATGCCCCAGTGCTGGATGATCCAACAGATAGGTGTGTGTTGGACAAATGTGACCAATCATCAAACTTCATCAAACTTTGTTTATATCCTGCCCCATCTCCACATGGTGACTTGAGACCAACTCCTAATTTTAGGCAATGTTCTTTTCATTACTGGACTCCAACAATAACTAAAGTGGATTCTTGACTGCAGCCATATAATCAGCAATACTATCTAAAATCAGGGATGGGCAACTCTGGGAAGCCTGGGAGGGCACACATTGGCTAAAACCCTATTATTATTATTATTATTATTATTATTATTATTATTATTATTATTATTATTATGTGTACATAACATCACAGCACACATCCACATTAGGTCCATATACCTGTGATTTGTCTTTCAATATCGGGCCTAGGATATTAGAGATATTATAAGGTATTCGAGGTATTACTATTATTATTATTATTATTATTATTATTATTATTATTATTATTATTATTATTATTATTATTAAACCTGCCTCCGAACATAGTCTGGGAAGAGCAGTACCATCCCATTTTTAGGTCACCCGGGGTGATTTTAGGAAAGGCCTTTTAAAACACTTTATGGGGTTGTTGATGTTTTAAAGGCTTTAAGATGGCCCAAAGGGACAAAATAACTAGCCAAAAAATGTAAGCCATGTGGGTTACAAAAACAGCTTTGGGGCTTCATAAAATATACATTTTACCCACTCGAATCTTAATCTTAGCACTGTCAAGCCAGCCCAGATGAGAAGTCTTATGGTGCTTGTAAAAATGACCAGAATTTTTCACTAGCTTGAAAGTAGGCTCTTCTCTGTAGTTGTGATAGAAGAATGATATTTGATATAATTTTGACCAATATATTGGGTAGGAAGCACAGTCTTACTATACACATCTAAAGTGGGGAAAATCAAGAGCCTTGAAAGTTTCCTATGGTCTCTATTCTGATGGAATAAAAGCCAAGTGACCTTTCCAAAGCAATGTATTACTGGAATATGAGAAGAATAAACAGAATGTGGAAGAATAAGCAGAAATACACTGGAATATGAGGAGAATAAGCAGAAATACACTGTGTTTGTTCCATGGACTTGTCTTAAAATAGCCCTTCTAATGCAGTCATCTTGGACTTCTAAGCCTGTGAACATGAATTCAAAGCACCCAAACTATAATGGCTCCTCACTCTAAGAACCCATCAGCATGTTGACTGTATAGGCATGAAGCTATGTGCAAAATAACCGGAGCTATTTGAATGCATTTTCTTCCATTCTTTTGAAACAAAATGTACCACTACTTATGCTGTGTGGTACAAAAACAACAAAATTAGCCCTAGTTTATGGTGATTAGAGGTGAGAACTCTGGGATTGATGCAACTCTAATTTGCTCCTAGAAATGGAAGATAATTGACATGGGGTGTGCCAAACCAAATATTGGAAGGCTTTCATGGCCGGAATCACTAGGTTGTTGTAGGTTTTTTCGGGCTATATGGCCATGTTCTAGTGGCATTCTCTCCCGACGTCTCGCCTGCATCTATGGCAAGCATCCTCTGAGGATGCTTGCCATAGATGCAGGGGAAACGTCAGGAGAGAATGCCTCTAGAACATGGCCATATAGCCTGAAAAAACCTACAACAATCCAAACCAAATATTGGTTTGCAATGGTTTTTTCCACCACCAGATTCAACCCCTTTTTTTTGTTTAATAGAGAACACCAATAAAGGTGTTCATACAGTTTTTCATTACTTAAGCTAAGTCCTTCTTATACTGTGAACTTAATTTAACTTAATTTAGCTATTTACATCAAAACAATAAAAATGATATAGGAACACTAAAGGTCCAATCCTATATCCATTTATCTGGAAATTAGACTCACTGAACTCAATGGGACTTGCTTCTGATTAAACAAGCATTGGTGCTATAACAGTCCAATCCTAAGAAGTAAATTCCACAATGTTCAGATGGTGTTCATTTCCTTTAACCACAGGTGATATATAAGGGTGTGCTACAGAGAGTGGCCATGTTACTTTTTGGGAATACAAATCCCACAAACCACTAGTTGAAGAAAGTAACTTGCAGGTAAAAGAAGTAATTTTACTGACTTCTAATGCACTGAATGCCTATGCAACAGTAATAAGGAGGAAGGGATGGGGAGAATGAAACCAAGAGTTAAAGTATCTTACTGTCACATGTTCATAATCTTGTCCCAATTCATGGGATCCGGCCACCACTTCCCTTTCTGCGATCCACTGTTCCAAGTCATCAACTTCACGATTCAGCTGGAAGAGCCTGTGCCTCTCATCCAGCTTGCCTCGTCGTTCCTCAGAGAGGTCTTTCAAGCCTGCATACAGCTTGTCCACCTTGGATTGCCGCATGCTGATGCGCTCGCTTAGAGCACAAATGGAGAGAAAAAAGAGAGTCAAATTAGTCCTATTTTTGAAAGAAATCAAATCATATTTGATATATCCTTGGAAATCCTACTAGGAGCAGACCACTCCAAGTCAAGCATTCTATTCCAAGTCAAATCCTTCAAAGTGAAGGCCACAAAACATGAAAGTAGTGGCCATTCCATGCTCATATCTCCAGGAATTGGTATTAAGGGTTATTATATTCCCTCTGACCCTGTCACACCACAACAAGCACACATAAATGAGCCATTTCGGTCTGGATCAGTAAGCAAAGGGATCATGTACTACATTTGAAGCTATCTAAGAAAAAGAGGTAGACTCAAGTCTTGCATTCTACCTTCATCATTTCCAGGCTATGGAAATACTATCTCGAGTTTTTCTTGACACAGTTTGTTCAGAGGAGTTTTTCCTTTGCCTTTCCTTTCCTCTGAGACTGAGACAGAGTAATGTACCAAGGGTCGCCCAGTAGATTTCCATCGCCAAGTAGGGATTTGAACCCTGCTCTCTTGAGTTGTGTCCACTGGCTGCCGGTCCAGTTCCAAGCACAATTCAAAGTGCTGGTCTTGACCTATAAAACCCTATATGGCCCAACGTACATGTCCAAACGTATCTCCTTCTACGCCCCACCTCAGAGTTTAAGATTTTCTGGGGAGGCCCTGCTCTTGGCCCCAGCTGTGTTGCAAATACGCTTGGCAGGGACGAGGGACAGGGCCTTCTCGGTGGTAGCCCCCCCCCACCTGGGGAATTCATTCCCCGGTGAAATTAGATTATTGATGTCCCTCCTTTCCTTTAGAAAGAAGTTAAAAATGTGGATGTGGGACCAGACCTTCAGGTAATCTTGCCAACAATGACAATGACAATGATGACAATCATTATGGAAATGGACTATGGGCATGTTTGATGGAGTCTTTAACTACAGAATTCGGCTCAGAGAAGGCCACCAGGCTGTCATTGAAACAGAAACAGATTTTAATTAATTGATGTGAGTTAATGTTTTAAATGTATGTAAGTATTGGATTTTATTATGTATTTTATTATGCGTACATTGGAGGCATTGAATTGTTGCTGGCTGGAAGCCGCCCTGAGTTGAGAAGGGCGGGGTGCAAATATCTGAACTAAATAAATCTGTAATAAAGGTCAGCCCGCTACATTACACTGACTTTATCTGGGAAAATGGTCTGGTTTTAGCTGAAACAAATTGGTATTTTTTAGAATTTTTCCTCTAGCTTTTAAATGATTTTGATTTTGAAATGACATGGTAATAATAATAATAATAATAATAATAATAATAATAATCTGTGTATAGACGTTCTTACAGACATTCTTAGAATCACAGAAACATAGAGATGGAAGAGATTTCATGGGCCATCCAGTCTAACCTCATTCTGCCAAGAAGCAGGAAAACCGCATTCAAAGCACCCCAACAGATGGCCATCCAGCCTCTGTTTAAAAGCCTCCAAAGAAGGAGCCTCCACAACACTCCAGGGTAGAGAGTTCCACTGCTGAACACCTCTCATGGACAGAAAGTTCTTCCCAATGAAGAATAAAGAAAATAACAATACCTTTAGGCGTTGGATGGTCTAATAAATTTGCTTTGGACACTAAGTTTAGCCTGTTGACCCTAACTTAACTGTCCTTGATCTAATTCATTAATTCCCATGAAGTAATGGCAGCATACATTTCTCTTAACCCATAAAGAGAGCCATGGGATGTGGAAAAACCACATGCACGGTCCAAAATAATATCATCACTCCAAGTTTTTAAAAGGAGACAAGCTTGGGAGATGAATAGAGACAACTTCCAGATCTCACAAACCAACTCTGTGACTTTTCCCATGACCCAGAGGAAGGATATGGGCTTGGCTCAGGCTTTCAGGATTTCCGCCACTATTGAATGCAATTGATAAACAGATCAACCACATCACTAAAAGGCTCCGTTCCTGTATGTGAGTTTTTACATGTCCAAGGGAAGCTAATGGGATTTCAACCAATGCACCTCTTTATTTCCCATCCACTGAACAACAATTTATGTGCACAAGGGTTTTGTGCCAAAATCCATACAGAATAAACAGGACAGAGGAAATGAATGCCTCTGTCCCATTTTTCTCCTGCTGTCTCTATCTATCTGCTCTGTTTATCCTGCATAGATTGCAGAAGCATCTGTCAAATATATGCTCATGAACTATTTAGAGTTTTCCCTTGTCTTTTGCAGTATTTGTATTTGGCTTTATTCCTCCATCTGGCAATCTTCCTTCCACTTCCCTTTGTCTTTTTCAGATTATAGTTGTAACTCAACAAAAAATAATATGATTATTTATCTGCCTGTAATTTTGGATTCTTCTGATCACCAAATACTACAGGTTTACACCAAGGAATCACTGCCTAAATTATATCCTGCCAGAGAACCTCTCCCAAGGTTGCCAGAAGTTCATACCTGGAGTTTGGAGAAGTTACTTTCTGAATAACAACCTCCAGAATTCCCAATTCAACATAAATATTGGCAGTTGTAGTCCAAAAAAAGTTATTTCTCACCAGACCCTTGCCTAGAATCATAGAATTATAGACTCGGAAGAGACCTCATGGGCCATCCAGTCCAACCCCCTGCCAAAAAGCAGGAAAATCGCATTTGAAGCATCCCTGACAGATGGCCATCCAGCCTCTGTTTAAAAGCCTCCAAAGAAGGAGCCTCCACCACACTCTGGGGCAGAGAGTTCCACTGCTGAATGGCTCTCACAGTCAGGAAGTTCTTCCTAATGTTCAGATGGAATCTCCTTCTGATACTAATAATTTAGCACAGAGCTTTTCAAACTACGTTTGCGACAAATTAGTCTGTAGGTGTCCAAGTGTATGCAAAATAAGCAATAAATCACACATTTTAGAAGTATAAATGAAGATTTTTCATGAGATATGTTTTGTTCCTGTACATTATGCCATTATGTATGTGACTGTTTGAAGACTAGGACATCTGTAGGGAGACAAAGGTGCATGTTTATAGAGCTATTGTTCTCCCAACCCTGCTATATGTTTGCAAAACGTGGACTGTCTACAGACGTCACACTCAACTCCTGGAAGGATTCCATCAGTGTTGCCTCCAAAAAAACTTGCAAATCTCTTGGGAAGCAGGCGAGACAAATGTCAGCATGCTGGAAGAAGCAAAGACCACCAGCACTGAAGTGATGTTCCTATGCCATCAACTCTGCTGCACTGGCCACATTGTCCGAATATCTGATCACCATCTCCCAAAGCACTTACTATGTTCCCAACTCAAGAACTTGAAATGTAATGTTGGTGGACAGGAAAAGAGATTTAAAGATGAGCTTAAAGCTAAGCTTAGAAACTGTGGCATAGACACTGAGTACTGGGAAGCCCTGACCTTTGAGTGCTCTAACTGGAGGTTAGCTGTGACCAGCAGTGCTGCAGAATTTGAAGAGGCACGAATGGAGGGCGAAAGGGAGAAACGTGCCAAGAGGAAGGTGCGTCAAGCCAACCATGACCAGCACTGCCTTCCACTTGGAATCCAATGTCCTCACTGCGGGAGAACATGTGGATCAAGAATAGGGTTCCACAGCCACCTAGGGACCCATCGCCAAGATGCTACACTTGGAGAACCATCATCCTCGGGCTACGAGGGATCGCCTAAGTAAGTAAGTAAGTAAGTAAGTAAGTATGTGACTGTAACTCTTATAAGGGATTGGTTTAATCCCTGGTTTGCTCTTAAAACTGAATTACTGTGTCGTGAATCAACACATGCCTAAAAAGAGTGTACTTACATGAAATGTTCAAAAAGCTTTGCTCTAGCAATATTTTGCATCCCTACCTTATTTTATCCAAAATGTTTTATTCATATATTTATTATAGGAACTTGGGGGTATTTATTTATTTATTTCTCTTGGGAGTATTTATCTCAGTCCTCTTCAATAACCCATCAATTATACATTTTAAAACATAATTAAAACCATCTAATGTAAATTATTTGGCGCAGGCTTCCATTCAGTGTTATATTCCCCCCTCTAAGTTAAATCCTGTCTCCAGGGTTAAATCATTTTGTTATCTTTGTGCTAACTGATTTGTTAGTCAGGTTTAAAATCATTTGCCTCGGGTCCCCTAACAGTGGCCCTAATATTGTAATCATATGGAAAGGAGGTATGTAGCTGACATACATACTAACTGCAGATGCATTACTGTTGACCCATGGGCTCATTTCAGACAAAACTGGAAAATGTAATTACAGTTATCTGAATAAACTTGCCAGTTAAGTACCCTAACATTTGCACTATGTCATACCAAACATATGGAAAATAAAAGCATTAATTGTTAATGTTATATTAATCACAATCCCTTCGAAAGAATAGTAAGTCTTGTGCTGTTATAAAGACTAACAATTTAATACTGCATTAAAGCTTTGTGCATACACACAGTGTTACCTTAACTAGTAGGTTTATATAGATAGATATGAGTTAATAGAGTGGCAAATGAAGAAAGATGTTTAAAGGAAAATAAAATGCTAGCAACAGCCCTCCCCCCTCCCAAATATATATAGTCTGGATATCATGAGTTCAGTTTCCATACACACACACACACACACACACACATATATACACACACACATATATACACATACACATACATACACACATGGATAGGAACCGAACTCAAGACATACAGACTTTATGAACTGTTGCTAAGGTCAGTAGTTTTTACATTCTTGGAGTCATGGACCCCTTTGATGGAAGTTATGGACTCTCCTCAGAAAAATGCAATAAAATACAATTTTTAGAATATCAGCAAGGAAAGAAAGATGGGAAGAATAACTTTTTGCACCCAATTCATGGACCTCCCTATAGATTCATGGGCCATAGGTTAAGCATCATTATGTGAAATGATAGAGTCCCTGGTAGCGAAATGGGTTAAACCCTTGTGCCAGCAAGACTGAAGACCGACAGGTCAGAGGTTCAAATCCAGGGAGAGTGCGGATGAGCTCCCTCTGTCAGCTCCAGCTCCTCATGCAAGGAATTAAGAGAAGCCTCCCACAAAGATGGTAAAACATCAAAACACCCTGGTGTCCCCTAGGCGACATCTTTGCAAACAGCCAACTCTCTCACACCAGAAGTGACTTGCAGTTTCTCAAGTCGCTCCTGACATGAAAAAAGTGAAACTATGGCCAAGGAGAAAGTATACCATAGAAAGTGAACCATAGTTTCAGATACTGCCTTGTGTTGAAACAGCAGTGGGAACCAGTTCACTCTCCAGATGTTGGATTTTAGCCCTCAGCATTCCTTACTATGGAGGCAAGGGTTCATGGGAGCTGTTGTTTACAACTAACTGGAGGACCACGTGGTTCCTAAATTCAGTCATCATGGGAAATTAGGGTTAGTTTAAAAATGAAAGCAGAAGTATGCATTCTCTCCATGAGTGTACCAAGGCTTATCATCTGAACTTAAGTACTGAACAGATTTGTTCAGACATCAGGGGAAGCCACATTCCTCTTCTCTATCAGACCTATGCTTTAGGCCAAGATGACTTTTGGTTGGTTGGCATTGTAGGATTTGGGGCCTGAGAAACTGTCAACAAAAAAAGTACTGAGCTTGATGTATCACTGTCCAGAGGAAACAAACTACAAACATAAAAATGTCAATAGACACCTCTCTGGATGATTGTCTGCAACCAAAGTCCTGCTCGTCTTGGAGAGCTGGTGCACCGTTTCAGCATAATCTTCTACAGCTTGCTCCAAAATCTGGTGCTTCTTCAGCATGGAGACTGCACTTTGTTCATCCTAAAGTGATAAGAGAGAACAATATAACGCTCTTTAAATGACACAATGATATAGGGAATAATATCAATGTGTACACAATGGAATCTAGAAATATAAAGATCTGTTAGGATGGCAGCCGCATCTGCTGATTAGATCTGACTCATTTTGAGGGACCCAAATCCAAACATGTACTATGTGATTGATGAACTCCTTCCTCACATGGACTGAGTGCAGGTCACCAGGAAGTCAGATTTTTCTTCCAACCAAATATCAAGAAAGGGATTGATTTCTTCTAAGTGATTTGATCGTATTGTAAAGTTGACTTCCTCATGTTAGGGAAAAGCCCCCACTGAAATGTTCCCATGCAAGACTTTGGCTGGTGGAGTCCCCCTTTATCAACATGACTGCTCAGGTTTTGTAAACTTAAGAGTTGTGGCTTCCTTGATTAACACATTCCACTTGTAATTGGATCTGCATATTTTCATATTACTTTCCTTACCAAGTACTACTGTCTTTTGCAATGAGCTGGGCCTTTTGGCAGCTCGTAATAGCCATATAACTTTCCTCTTCCTCATTCTTCTTGACGTGCCCCCCAAAACTGCACTAGAATCCACTGCATGAAAGAAAAAGCAGCCAAGGAGGAAGATCATGTTCTAAACCTGACTTCAGCAAGGGCTCACTGAAGAATACAAGAGTTTGAGGAGTCAGAACAGGTATGGATTGGTTTCCTCCAGCTATGGTATGCAGCTGTATTGTTTTATTTATAGACACATGAGAGAGTATTTTGTAAACACATAGAACCTTGAAACTATCTGGACCTGTTTGGATGGCAGCTGTGGTCTGACAACAATGTGTTGTTCAAACACATCAAGTCAGACTTCTCAATAAAGAAGATAACAAGTAACAAAGGTGCAGAAGCGCTGAAAAGCAAAATCTTGCAAAAGGAAGATAAATCTGAAATAAATGAATGAAGCATCAAAAAATTATGAGAAGCTGCAAAGAGAATGTCATAAGAAATGCTATTTCACTTTAGCATTGCAACACTCTGGGTGAAATCAAACACTCAGGAAGTTACTTTAGATCAGGTATGGGCAAACTTTGGCCCTCCAGGTGTTTTGGAATTCAACTCCCACAATTCCTAACATCCTAGTAAGCTGGCTGGGATTTCTGAGAGTCCCAAACACCTGGAGGGTTGAAGTTTGCCCATGCTTGCTTTAGACAGAGTCAGATTTTTGGTCCACCTAGCTTTTTTAAATTTTACCTACACTGATTGCTTCTGCAATTCCACTGATTTGGACAGGAAGTTTTTACCCAACCTACTTACAGATGCCTGAGAATGAACCTGGGACTTCCAGTGGGCAAAGCATGCATTGTGCTACCAAGCTATAGCTCACTTTGTGACAAGAATTCAGATAATTTGGCACAGAACAGTATTGCTGGGTCAGTCCATTTCAAACTATTTAGTAACTGTGATGTCTCTCAGCTGAGGAATGGTCCAGATGCAGGCTTTCGTCACTTGAGGAACAAAATCCCAAGGGATAATTTGAATACATGAACATACCATAGCTGTACCACCAAAGACAGGTCCATAATACGATTTCAAATTGTTATAAACATAAAGTAAAGATGTGTTTTGATGCTCCAAAGACATTACTCAGTTGTTGTCCTTGGAGCATTGTAGTGTTTTGTTACCTTGGCCTTCTCTTCGGACATCATGTAGAGTTCCTGTTCGCTCATCCACGCTTCGGCCTCTGCGGCATCGAAGTAGTACTGCTGAGCTTTGTGGGACTCCTCAAGGCGCTTGTGGCGTTTCTCGGTCTCCTCTATCAGGAGGTTCCACAGCTGCTGCAAGTCTGCAAGGCGCTGCTGGATTGCTTCGGCATTAAGGCTGCTGTCCGTGACAATGTTTTGGCTCCTCTCGAAAATGTCGTCGATCCGAGGCTGGTGTCCCTGGATTTCCTTCTGAAGTGTCTAACATGGGGAAATTCAATACTTGCATTGGAAACAGCTTACTGAACAAATGCTTATGGGGAAAGATAATAGGGTGTCATTCAAGAAGGCAGGTTCCCAGAATGCATTGCAGTAATTAGGGAGGGAGGGAGACAGCCAGCAGGCAACACTTTCTGATAGGAACAGGACTGACAAGTCACTTCAGGACAGGGACATCAGTATCAAAAGAGCAAATGACTCAAGGCTCAAGCAACTAGATAACAAAGCTAGAAAGCACACTGCCTTGGAGCCAGTCCAAATGGTAGACTCGCCACCGGGAATATACCATATGGATTGGAGCGTATTTTCCACCTAATGTTGTTATCACTGAGCATCTAGGTATTGTGTGAATTGGGATTATTTGATTATTGTTTAGATTTGAAAACCAATTTACCTCACAGACAATGCCCAAGATATTAGCACAAGTTCCTACACCTACTATCCATGTTGATCAAGTTTACCACCAGGAGGAGCTGCAGTCCAACTGAGCAAAACACTCAATCCAATAACTATAGTCTCAGTCCAATGGGGTAATCAGCATATTGTCAACGGATGATATAATGTAATGCATGTGATCCCTACAGTTGTCACAAAACAGCTATATTTGAAGTTTACACCATATATGGTCGCCTGATGGCACAGGATTCAACAGCCATAAGTGAGAAGGACATTTTCATGCGGTTTAGGTTTATGTGAATAGTCTGTTATCTGAATGCTCTCTAGAAATGCTATGTTTGCCTTAGGGAAGGCAGGGCTTGACCTATTCCCTTTACCATTAGTTCATGTAAAATGGGCACAGTAGCTCTGGTATCAGTGCAAAATGGATCAGGAAATAAGAGCTGGAAATGATTCCCAACAAAAAGGGCCTTAGAGTAACTTCCAAACTCATAATGTCATCCTCTACAGATGGTTAACCTGGTGAATCTCATTGGAAACCAGGAGGTAGGATATTGGTCCCATCTACACTGCCATATGATGCAGTTTAAAACTATATTATATGGTCAGCGCAAAGTCATATAATATATTTTAATTGTATTGAACTGCACTGTATGTCTGTACTGACCATAACATGCAGTTTCAAACTGCATTATATGGCAATGTAGATGGTGCCACTCTCTCATTCCAGGCCAAACCGCCATGCAAAACAGGATTAAGATTAATTCCAAATGTAACACCTGCATCCTTTAGACTCGCTTTGGGAGACTGTAGGTAAGTGTGCTTTGGGCAGTGTTCCTTAAGGGCATAGGCTAAGTCTCCTTTGGCTTTCTGCTTTGTAGGTGGATTACTGGGATCCAGGTAGAATTAGTCACTTACCTGATTCTTCTTAATTAACAGCTGAACAGTCTGAAGATTGTGACCATGGTCTGTAGAAGTAGCAATAGGCATTCTTTCTCCAACCCACAACTAGAAATGTCAAATAAAATGTTGTATTAATGGAAAATGAAGTTTAACAAGAAGACGATCTTAAAGATACAATGGTGATTGAGAATGGACCAGAAAACAGGAACTGCAAAAGATTCCCAAGAAGAAAGGCCTTAAGGTAACTTCCAAACTCACAATTTCATCCTCCACATCCCGGTTGAACTGATGGATCTCCTTGGAAGCCAGGAGGTGAGACTTCCTCTCAGTCAAAGGCTCTAGCAGCTCCACAAACTTCTTCTCCACAATGATACGTTGGCCATCCACCTCATCTGTGCTCTTGCCCTCCTGGCTCAGTGCTTGGGCCTGGCTCTTCAGCTCCTCAATCTCCTTCTTACGTACGTTCATTTGGTTCTCCAGCATCTAAAATGGTGGGGATGGAGAAGGAAATGTACATGTTTATTAACTCTTCTCTCAAGCATCAAAAATGGTAGGGATGGGGATGGGAAATGTGAGTATCTATCAACTATTTTCTTCAACCAAATAAATAATCTAGATTTCTGTCTCCCTTATAATGTGTTCCAGGCAGGAATAGGAAACGAACGGACATTTTTGCAACATCCGGACCATTCTCTGGTGATACAACAGCAATGAGATCCATGTGCTGAAACTTTTGCAGTACTAAAAATAGCAGGAAATTCTCATATCAACTAAGTTGAGAAAACCTGGTGACAAACTCTTTCAACACAAACAACTCTGATTTGTTTCAAAGCAAGTCTAGTCTGGATGTAGCACAGCAATTCATGGCCAGGTCTACAAGGAAGATCTTGGGCCAGCCAGAATTGTCCATCCATGATTTAAGAGGAAGATTTCATTCATGGATTCTACTGATTTAGTTTAAATGTGTAGTAGCATAGTAAGATCTCTGTATTAGCAAGGGAGAAATTCCTGGCCTTACCATGCTTCCATAAAATGGAAGATCTGAATAAAGGCCATTAAATTACTTGATTTCCAGTTCCACATACCATAAAGTTGCCTTGGAAGACCTAGAAAATGTTGAGGGATCATTTCTCTTGGACATGAGTAAATGAAACCATAGATATAGGTTCTGTGGGTACAGGAGTCTTATGGCACCTCAGTTAACAAAGTATAAGTTCTCCTGAATCATCTGTCCTTAACAGAACTTACAATGTTCTTTTCATTTTCTATTAAGCTTTTTAAGCATGCTCACTAACAGACTTTGGAAACAGCTACTATTCATCTAACCCCATGGTTCCCAACTTTTTTTTGACCAGGGACACCTTGACCAGGGACCACTCTCCAACATTAGTATCAAAAGGGTTACAAATCAGTTTTTGGTCAACTTTAGATTCAGTTTGGTTCTTTGGGGCGCTGATTCAGAAAATTGCATTGGATAGACCATCAGCTCTAGTTTCTGATACAGAATATATGCCATCCAGTAGTCACCATATGATCGCCCAAAGAAAACCATATTTAATAATCTAGAGCTGATGCGGTAGTAGTAATCTTTCGTGGGTAGTCCGTCTCTTCCCCTTCTGACATTCCTGTTGCCTCGGCACTATAAGAGGGTTTCGTGAGACCAGTAGCTCTTGTTGCTGCGTGGTTTCGATGCAATGGTGTAGCAATTGTGAGGCCGTGGGCCATATTTTCGTCCTTGGGGACCACTGGTGGTCCACGGACCTCATGTTGGGAACCACTGATCTTACCTATTGTTGGTAGGTGCACACTGATGCAGTATAATGGGAGAAAATAAAATCGCTTTTTTGTGTAGTTCAAGTTTTATTGCATCATTTACTGCAGACGTGCTGCTGCAACCCGACACCAAACCACTGTCTTTCTCTAGTCTTCTTTCATTAGTCTTCCAGTACTGATATTGATGGGTGGAAAGGGATTATGCAAACAGCAGCTTCACTGCCAAATACTTTGTTAACTGAGACATGCCTGTATACCCCTTTTACTCATAGTGTGTGTGTGTGTGTGTATGGATGTATTAGCTTAGTGAGTTAAGCCCTATCCAAATCTACTTTTGTTCTCCCCTGAAAATCAAACACATTTAGGAAGACCATATATAGGCAGTTCCCAAGTTACAAACAATATAGTTTCTCTAGGTTTGTTCCTAAGTTGAATTTCCATGTAAGTTGGATGTGTGTGTGTGTGTGTGTGTGTGCGTAAAAGGTTTGGATAGCATTGGAAAGGGTTAACACCCCTGTGGAGTTTGTTTGCTGTCTGTGCCCCTGTTCAGAAGATTTCACCTCACTTTCTATCCCTGTGAGAATTGGATTCTGAAAAATATCGGCTTTATTGTGGAAACAAGGATTGGTGCTAAAGCTTCAGTTGAGATATTTCTCCCATGAATTTCCCTTCCTAGAGGTAGATTTCTACCACTTGCTGTTGTCTTATCCCATTCTTAACTATGAGTCATTGTAAGTTGGAAGTTTGTAACTTGTGGACTGGCTGTACTTATAAATAGGCATTTTGGAAAATGCTTGGGTAAGGGCGAACCCTATCACTATCAACCTGCCAAAGAACTTTCACTCTGTCCTCCTCAAATGGAAGTGTCAAAGGTTGGCTTAAAGGGGCTGCAGTGAGATGGAATCCAAGATATTTGAACTGTTGATCATTTTAGATTGGTCAGGGGGAAATAGAGACTGTTTATCTCATTCATGGGAGTGCAGCCTAAAATGAAGCAAATGTAGCAAAACTGCAGCAGTGAAATATGGCACTCTCCAATAGTAAACCCTGTCTCATTGCAAAACAATTGGGTCTGGTTGCCCACCCATCACTACTTGAACTCAAGGTTTCCAGAATTGTTTACCATCAGCATCATGAGGCTTATGAAACAACTAAGCAAGTGGGTTGTTGTAGGTTTTTTGGGCTGTATGGCCATGTTTTAGAAGCATTCTCTCCTGACGTTTCGGCTGCATCTGTGGCAGGCATCCTCAGAGGTTGTGAGGTCATGGCCATACATCCCAAAAAACCTACAACAACCCAGTGATTTCGGCCATGAAAGACTTGGACAAGTGTAACTGCTTGTATAATGGCTTTCATGCCAAGGTAAAGCTACAAACGGATTCTAGACCGATTGCCATATGGAAATTGTTGAATGTAAGAGATTTTTGTAGAAACAGAAATGCTTTGATAATGTGTAACCGCAGTCACCTTCAATACTTTCTGGCTGAAAAGGCAGTTGAGGATCTTTAATATTGTGAACAAATAAATTCCCATTTCTCTTTCGCTACAATTGTTGAATTTGGCCCCTAAGAAAGCTGAATTGAGGGCTACTCCAATCCCTTCACCTGTTGTTTCTTCAGCAGGATATTGACGCTGGTGAGATCCTTGCCATAGTCATCGGACTGGATCTGGCACTCCAAGCCATTCAGCCACTTGTCCAAGTCAGCACAACTCTGAGTGAAGAGCTCAGCCTTGTTGGCATCAAAAAGCCGCTGAGCTTTGGTCTGGGTGGTGCTTTCGAGCACTTCCCACATCTGGTGCAGACTGGTAAGCTTCTCTTTTACGACTCCTTCTGTTTCAGGTTTCTCAGCAATAAGCTGCATTCCTTCCTGCAAATAAAACAGAAATGTCAACCAGGAGTAATTGAGATCCCTTGGCTATGTCAATCTGAGCAGCAGAACTGACTGTTACTGGATTTTTTGGAAGGTTTTGGCAAAACAAGAGAATCTCATCCATTCTTTTTAACACTGATTCTCTTGAGGTCCAAAGGTTGAAGGAGACAAAAAGCCTGGAGTGGACATAATAGAGTTCGGAGACATAACAATACTGCTACAACAGCTATTAACTTGCACTCCACCCATTTACAGCCATGCCTTTTTCAAGTCAAAGACATGACCTACAATACCAGGTTTAGATATCAATTCACAGCTTTATAAATAATTATTTGAGAATCAGAGGACAGGCAATGCAGTTGCACACTCTTAACTTGTCTCAAGCACTGGCTTTGGCATGGAGCTCCTAGTTTGCACTAGGTAAAAATTCCCTCAATAATACTATGTTGAAGATAGGATGCCACATTGAAGATGGAGTGAGCTTGTTTTCTGCTGTTCCAGAGGCTACAACTTGGAGGAATGGATTCAAACTACAGGAAAAAAAAGGTTCAACCTAGACATTAGGAAGAACTTCTTGATGGTGAGTGCTGTTTGACAGTGAAATACTCGGCTTTGGAGTAGGGAAACTCAGCCATTGGTAGCAGGTGCTAATTACTTTACTCTCCAAATTATGGCTTTAAAGAATATAATGTGAGAATTCTGTATACATAATCCTCTTTTCCTTATCTGCAACTGTGTAAACTAACTAGGAGAAAGGATTTTCATGTAGTACTGGAGCTTGCAACTGTTACAAATACATTATAATTGCAGCTTCCAAAGACACCAGTCAAGCTATTTTGACCAAACACCGGGAATCTCAATAACCCAGTCCCTGCACATGAACCAACTAGACAGAATGTTTCTAGCCCCTTCACAGAGCTTTGTCCCCATTCCCCTTACCTTTTCAATTTTGTCCAGCCATTCTTTATTGGAACCAAGCTCTGCCATGAAGGCCTGGTGTTTCAGCCACTTGCTGTGCAGGTTCCTTGCTTCATCATAAGACATGTCCTGTGCTGTAAGCATCTTCTCATTAATCCACAAGGACAGCTGGGGAGAAAGAAAACAAGTGTGTGGGGTGGTCACTTTGTGTGAGGTCTGGGAATTCCTCAGCAAGTGTCTTTAACCATAGAAGTACCTCTGACCATGGGAAGAGACTTGAAGAGCCCAGGGGCAGCCACTAAGAAGGCCCTCCCTAATGTCCCCCATTAACCGTGCTTGTGATGGTGGTGAGACTGAAAGAAGGATCTCCAGATGATTCTATGGAGTCATGGCCCATGTGGTCTCTTCCAACTCATGAGTCTATGAAATGGTATTAATTCTACAATGTAGATGCTCTCTCCTCTCATTCATGTGCAGCCCTCCAAAGGGTTCCTGACACTCAAACCCATAAGCTACTTATTGAAGAGAACAGCTTTCCAAATAACCTAACCAGAATAGCCATTAGCATGCCCAGCTCAGATTGCTATGAGTTTTCCAGGCTCTATGGCCATGTTCCAGAAGCATACTCTCCTGGCGTTTTGCCCACACCTATGGCAGGCATCCTCAGAGGTTAAGGATCCTCAGAGGTTGACAATGTGGGTAAAATGTCAGGAGAGAATGCTTCTGGAACACAGCTATACAGCCTGGAAAACTCACAGCAACTCAGTGATTCAGGCCATGAAAGCCTTCGACAACACAATGCCCAGCTCTCTTGTGAAGATGTTAAATGCATACATTAGATTTGTAAGGAAGTGTGGAAATCTGTTTTCTAGCAGTTTCCATTTTGTGAGAGCACATACTTCACTGTATGTAACTTCAAGAGCAATTTTAATATCCTGCAATTGCCAAGGAATTTCTGCCGAAAGTCCAGACCCAACAGAGTGTTGTTTTGCCTTCTTTGTTGTAATTAACAAAACAACACAGTGCATTTAGGGAGGCCTTCCAGAAGCTGCAAACTCTGCATCTTTTCAGCCAACCACCCTGTCCTGAGTTTCATGACTTGTAGTGGACCCTCTGCCCAGAATCCAAATGGCACAGGCGAAGGGGAACAGAACTGGCTCGCTGGCTCAGCCATCCCTATTTTTGGCCGACAAAGACCATTTTTCATCCATTCATGAACATTTCCAAAGGTCATTTCATAAAAGGCTCGTTAAGGGTGGTAATAAAAGGAAAATGTGTAATTGTGGGAATTAGAAGAATCTGCCTTTCAGAGGAAGCTAACAAAGGCACCATTCATGGGATAAGGAAAGTTCTCATTGGGGCAATGGCCGGTCTGCCCTCCAGGGCGGCACCATGTCTCCTCGGGTGCCATATTATCCTGACCTATGGAGAGGTGAGTTTCCAAAACTCCAATTTTAGATGACCGTGGGAAGAGATTTTGGGCAGGAGGGGGAATGGAATGGTTCATTATGCCAGTGGTTGAAGCCCTTGAAACAACCACATTTCATGATTTATTGCTTTCCCTCATCTGTAGAGCTGTTGTTATTGTTGTGTATCTTCAAGTTATTTCTAATGAAAATCCTAAGGCCTATCATGGGGTTTTCTTGGCAGGATTTGTTCAGAGGGGGTTTGCCATTGCCTTCCACTAAGTCTAACAGAGTGCGACTCGTCCAACATGTTTTCATGGCTGAGCAGGGATCCAATGCTCAAATCACTACAGCAGTGGTTCTCAACCTATGGGTCCCCAAATGTTTTGGCCTTCAACTCACAGAAATCCTAACAGCTGGTAAACAGGCTGGGATTTCAGGGAGTTGTGGGCCAAAACACTTAAGGATCCACAGGTTGAGAACCACTGCCCTACAGCATTCTGCTTCCCAGCTGTTTTTTGAGGCAGATCCTCAAATAGCTAAGGAGAGTTACTTTTCTTGTTGGCCATGCTGGCTGTGGTGGACGTGGAGATCTGAGAATTGTCATTCAAAAATTAAATCTTTCATAAGGTCTGAATGGCTTGGGGAAATTGAATACTATGAACAAATAAAGTTGTCAGGTCAGATTGCTAGCATCTCCACCTCACAATGTCTATGACTGAATGGACTGAATGGAAGAGACCCACCGTGTCCCAGCCTTTTAACTGATGGATCTCATCTACACATCAAAACAAGATAAATGCAGTGGGGAGGGTGGGATTTCCTTTAGTCCTCCATCTCACATAAGTTATTTTTTCTATATAGAGCAATTCCCCAATATTTGCTATATTTACAATACAAAATGGATGTTGAGCTGGGTAAGAAATCGAGATAGCAAGTATCTAATACACTTCTAATTTTCCATTCGTGGGGAGGGGGGTGCTATTGGAAGCTCATTTTGCATCACTAACATTATCTCTAGGATCTGGTCCAGAGGGCTCTTCTAACAGCCCCCTCCCATACCTTTTTAATAAAATGATGTTATCTCTGTCCATTGTTTAAGGAAAAAGTGGGGCAGTTCCTTAACAATTGGCTGCCATCAAAGGTTAATCAGTTGCTAGGCAGATGATATCTATCATCTGTTACAAATTAATGGACTGGAGATAAAAGACAAATGGACACACAGGCACAAACTAACACACAAAGCAAAAGTATCTTAACAACAATGTACCTCTTGGCAATCCTGAAGAAACTTTTGAAGATCTCTGTTGTCCTTCAATCTCATCAGAAGTTCACTAGCCACCTCACGATTCTTCTTATGTCTGTTAAAAACAAAAACAAAGAAGAGACTTTTCAGTGTGAGAACTCTGAAGATGGTGGTTTTGGTTATTATATGCCCCGTGAATAGAAACTCTGTTTCAAATCTCGTGCATATCTCCCCATCTTTGGATGCTAATTAGGGACAGAATTCCTTGAAATGAGGACACAATGACCGGCCTCAAAGTTCCTCCATAAAGACTAAAAGTAAACCAAGTGTTTTGAAGGGTGGGAATTTTGACAGAGAATGGAATTTCTGTGAAGGTCTGTTTCAAGAGTTATGCCAGTTAAGAAACTTTGTGTTTCCTAAAACCCTTCACTACACCTTGGTAATGCAACTCTTAGGACAGTGGTTCTCAACCTGCGGGTCCCCAGATGTTTGGCCTTCAACTCCCAGAAATCGTAAGAACTGGTAAACTGGCTGGGATTTCTGGGAGTTGTAGGCCAAAACACCTGGGGACCCATAGGCTGAGAACCACTGTCTTAGGATCTGCCAACCAGTATGACTAGGAAATTATAGTTCTAAAAAATTGTAATCCAACAAGTAATTTTTCCAAGATCTTGTCCTACACAGATACCTTGAAAGGTCAGTAATCTCAACCATGTCAAATTTTGTAGAAGGACTCAATTGTTGATGATAATTGCAGCAACTGGGGGACAGTTAATAAAACACGTAATATTGGCATCTTCAGGCTTATAACAGACTAAGACAATCTTTGTTCTGGCTTCTTGGCCTGATGGAATTGGGCAGGGAAAGCTCCCAAACAAGAATCCCTTTTCTTTCTTCCTTTTTTTTTGGGGGGGGGGGGATATGTTCTTACACCTTGTCTGCATACACTCCTAACCCTATACAGCTTGGATCCAGGTTATTTGATGGACCACTAGACCTCCAAATTCGGCTCAAGAGGGATTTCCTTGCTATTCCATCACCTTCTCAAATGTGTTTGATGGGAACACAGGAGAGGCCCTTCCTGATGACTGATTCCAGATTTTGGAACTCCCTCCCTAGACAGATCCATCTTTGCCCTTCTAACCAGAGGCACTCCAAGTGGCCAGCTACTGGTCAAAGGACATTTAATATAATGCCAAGTTATTAAAATGTGTGTTTTTTGTGAACACATTACAACTCCCTCCTGACTTTTCAGAAGAGAGTAAAAACCTGGCTCTTCGAGCAAGCATTCAGAACCCCGGAATAGATAGTCAAGCTTGAGATGGAGAATGACCCAGGAACAGCCAAGACGATGAACCGGATGAGGATTGGAATGAGAGGATATAGCTCTTTTAAAATTGTCTTTTTTGTCTAAATGCACTTAATCGTTTTTGCTTTTTGAATGTATGTATTGATGGCATCGAATTGTGCCGATATGTAGACCGCCCTGAGTTGCCTGTGGGCTGATATGGGCAGGATATAAATAATGTAAATGAATAAATAAATAATTGTACCCTTGGTTTGCTTCTGATATGATAGATAGATAAATAAATAAATAAATATAGTGTTTTTATAATTTGTGGTTTTATCCGCTTTTGAAGAAGTTCTATAACTGTGGAGGGCCTACGGTAAATCTAAATCTTTTCAAAATCCTAAACAAATACATCTACAATTCCAGAAATAAAGTAAGAGTTGTGTGGTGGCAGCAGCTCTCTCCAGTTTTGCAGTTGAAACTTGAGAACATGAAGCTTTTAAAACCATGCTGGTTACACACAGCAGCAGCTCTATTTCTTGTGCATCATTTGAGTTGTATTGGATTTAGCCACAAAAACTGGGCCAGTTTCTGCCTTCAGTCAATGAACATTTCTCTGCCATCACACGGGACAAAGATTCCATCCAACTACTTTTTTAAAAGCCTCAAACCACATGAAAGTAAAAATGCTTTGCCATAACTTTCTCCTAATGGGTTGCATTACATATTAAGAGGCGTTCTCACACAAGCCCTGCTTCCTCAAAGGCTCTTTAATAAGTCTTTGCTATGACTCAGCACCCCATAAACTTGCTTTTTACCAAGGGAAACTCCAGTGGTTTCTATAATCCCTAAATAAAGCAACAGGCTTAAGATCACTTTCCAGGTGGCAATAGATACATATTCTAGGAAAAGGAAGTTGTATATTTTTAAACATAGAGGTGGAAAAGACCTCATGGGCCATCTAGTCCAACCCCCTTCCAAGAAGCAGGAAAATCACATTCAAAGTACTCCCGACAGATGGCCACCCAGCCTCTGCTTAAAAGCCTCCAAAGAAGGAGTCTCCTCCACACTCCAGGGCAGAGAGTTCCATTGCTGAACAACTCTCACAGTTAGGAAGTTCTTCCTAAAGTTCAGGTGGAATCTCCTTTCTTGTAGTTTGATGGCATTATTCTGCATCCTAGTCTCCAGGGCAGCAGAAAACAAGCTTGCTCCTCCCTATGACTTCCCTCCACATATTTATACATGGCCCTCATCATGTCTCCTCTCAGCCTTCTCTTCTGCAGGCTAAACATGCCCAGCTCTTTAAGCCACTCCTAATAGGGCTTGTTCTCCAAACCCTTGATCATTTTAGTCACCCTCCTCTGGACATATTCCAGCTTGTCAACATCTCCCTTCATTGTCCACAGATGCCTTACTTTTCTCAGACTATAGTAGCTAGCATCTAGGGCCTGTGAAAATTGCAATTTTTCAAAACGTTGCTTATACCATGTCATGCTTCTCCTCCATCTCATGCATTATTGGCTACTACTATTTCGGGCAGGAAGTCTTTCCCAGATCCTCCAACTCAAGATGCCGAAGAATGAGCTTGGGACTTTCTGTGTCCAGACCAGGTGTGCCCTTACCACTGACTGGGACACGTGTTTGGCAATCAACGATAACCTGGAAGGTCACATTGCTGGCTTTTGCAAAAATTCTTTATCTTGCTGTGCTCACAACACGTTTGCCTGGCAATGCTAATGATCGCCAAGGTGGCTGGATAGGTGTGTGCAGCACTTCTCATGGCTAACTGCTTAAGTCTAGACGGATTTGGCAGAGACGTCAGTGCAGGAGGTGTGTTGGGTACATTAATGAGGTGGTGTTGATAGCCACTGTCATCGCCTCCACTCTCTATAAACAATCCTGCAGCTTACCAGGGTTTGGGAAGGTTTGCTGATCACAGTGTGATTTGAAAACCCTGTAGTAGTTAGTTTACAGATCTTCCAGCCAAGGATTTCTGGAATGACCCAAGAAAATACTTGTATAGGAAGCACTTAAAAACAGTGAACATCAGCAACTGGAAAATGTGGGCAACTTCAAGTGCCTCCAAGACTAGCACAAACTTCTGCCTTTCACCACAGAATCATAGAATCATAGAGTTGGAAGAGGCATCATTGACCATCATCTCCCTGCAATAGATACATATTCTAGGAAAAGGAAGTTGTATATTTTGAAACACAGAATCATAGAGTTGGAAGAGCCCAACCCCCTGCCAAGAAGCAGGAAAATTGCATTCCAGCTTGTCAATATGTCTCTTTAATTGTGGTGCCCTGAATTGGACACAATATTCCAGGTGTGGTCTAACCAGGGCAGAAGAGAGAGGGAGCATGACTTCCCTGGATCTAGACACTATACTCCTATTGATGCAGGCCAAAATCCCATTGTTTTTTTTGTTTTTGTTTTTTTGCTGCCGCATAACATTGTTGGCTCATGTTTAACTTGCTGTGCACGAGGACTCCAAGAACAAGTTATTAAGCATTCTCAAAATCCCTCAGTTGCAGTATTGTTCCTAGAGTCTTAAGATGTCTTGATATTTTGTAGCCATGGGAATAAAATACTCATCCATATGTTTTCAGTAAAATTTAGGGGGAAGCAGAAATACGTACTATTAAATATTATTAGGAAATTTTAAAAATCCTCCGGGCTCCTCCAAACTGGCAAAAGCCTCAGTGTTTGGTGGGAGTTGTAGCTCTATTTCCCTGTAGGCTGTTATATAAAATATCTATACTTACTTACTTATCCAAAAGCTGCTATATAAAATATCCATACAGCATTCTTTCTGTCCATTCTTCTCTCCCTAAATAGTACTAGCTTTAACTTTTTGTTCCCAGGCATTGGTAGCTCATCCAAAGCGACTCTATGGTATTCACAGCTCTTTGTGTAAACATGAAGTCACTTTCAACAAGCTCAGGTAATAAGCAGGTCTACTGCAACATTTATAATTTTAATTTGCAAAATCAATCAATCAATCAATACTCCTTTAAAAAAAATTGAACCAACCCTAATGGCTTCCTTCTGCCTGTATTGCGTAACAAACCATTCAAAGCCTTTCCTAAATACAAAATGATATATGTATCTGATAAATAGATTAATAGCAGTTGGCAATTCTAACGGTCTAAATGTTTTGGGGACATTGTACCTGTCATCAATGGAATCCACTTTCTCTTGGATCCTGTCGGAGTTGATGTTGCCATCACTGACTAGTCTCCTTCCAGTTTCTACAACAGCATTGATCTTCTCCTCGTTGGCATCCATTGTGGTCATGAAATCCTCTTGTTTCTTGATAGCAGCTTCTGCTCCTTCCAAAGTGGTGGGCATTTCAGTATGTGCCAAAACATATTCCTATCATTTTGAAGTGTAAGATAGAAAAGAGAAATATAAAGGACTCTAATCACAAAATCACCACTGCTCACAAAATCAATACGGCATGGAGAGATATAATGTTCTTAGTAATTTCCACAGACCAATTTACTTAATTACTTTACTCTTCTTACATTGTGATGCCAGAACAAAACCATTTCACATGAACTTAGGTTACAGAAAGACCTATTATCAGATATGTTTTCATAATTATATCAACACATTTGCAAACCAACTCCTGGAAAACATTTTCAAGCTGTGTTAGTAGTAGGCAAGGGGAGATATTTGGGTTGTTATATGTTCAAGCACTCACAAGACACATTATCCATACTGACACTCAGATGTTATCTTCATATTCCAAATCATAGTTTGGAGGACTGAGAATGAGGACTGTTCCAGACAGGCCCTATATCCCAGGATCTGATTCCAGGTTTCTGTTTATCTCAGATTATCTGGTAGTGGAGACTCATAATATCCAGGTTAAAGTAGAAAACCTGGGATCAGATCCTGGGATATAGGGCCTGTCTGGAAGGGCCATGAAAGACAGTCTCCTCCCATTTTCATGCCTTATCAGAAGATTTCCACATTTAGTTCTTGTCATTCTACCTTGCTATTCTATCAGAATCAATAATAGTTTAGATCACCGCTTCATAAATTGTGGATCACAACCCTAAATGAGATTCCCTTAGCTTAATGTTGGGGTCACGAAAAATTTGACAACAGTAAAAAATTATTGCATGCCATCTAAACATTTACATGAATTTGTAACAATATGCAGTGCTTACAGTGGGCTCTGCAGTAAAAGGAAAATCAACCTGTTCAGCAAGACTTACAATTACGATTACTGATAGTGCTTACTATCAGCTTCAACTGATCTGCTAGCTGAGTCCCTTCCTAAATTTGGAGGACCTGAAGATAGTAGTGCACACATTGGTAACCTCAAGGTTACGCTTCTGCAATGTGCTTTATGTTGGGCTACCCTTGTAACAAGTTCGGAAACTCCAACTGGTTCAAAATACGGCAGTCAGATTGGTTCCAGGAACATCTAGCAGTGAGCATATTACACCTATCCTACAGTCACTCCACTGGCAGCCAATTAATTTCCGGGCAAAATACAAGGTGATGGTTTTGACCTTTAAAGCCCTACATGATTTGGGTCCAGGTTACCTTAAGGATCGCCTTCTCCCATACAATCCGCCCCATACATTTCAGTCTTCTGGGGGCATCTGCTCGAACCAGCCAGAACCCAACTGGCAACCACCACCCAGAGGACCTTTTCATTGGCCACCCCAAGGCTGCGCAACAACCTGCCAGTAGAGCTCCGATAGCTAAATCAGCTGTCGGAATTTAAGACACAAGTGAAGACCTGTCTCTTCCAGTAGGCCTATCCAGACATAAACATAAACATTAATTTTAATGCATGTCCTTTGTCTGATCTCTGTTTTGTCTGTTTTAATATGTATTTCATAGATATATGTTTTGGTATGTATACTTTTATGGAGATACATTTTAGTATATGCATTTGTTAAGTGTTTTTTCTGTGTTTATGTATTTTAAATGTTTTGTAACCCACCTCGAGCCATGAGGAGAGGCGGATAAGAAATAAAATAATAATAACAGTTACTACTACTACTACTATTATTATTATTATTATTATTATTATTATTATTATTATTATTATTATTAAATTGGAGCTTCCTCCATAGAATCCAGGGGGTAGGAGAGATTAACAATATGATACACCCAAATTTGAGATTTTTCTGGGGTTGAACTGGATCTCCATGAAATTTACCAAGGGCCATATGCAATCTGCTATAGTGGTGGCTGAAATTCAGGTGCAACAATCGAGTGCATGGCTGACCCTCACTAATACTCATGGCTGGTTTCTATGATGCAGGAAGATGCCAACTTGTCCTGCTGTAGCACAGAAAACCAACAAGATTACAGGACGGAAATCCACTTTCTTCCTAATGAAAGGGAGACTAGTGAGGCAATTACTGCAATTCAATAGAATACCCCAAACTGTGCACCATCAATCTAGAAGCAGTTGGGGGTACTGGGCACAAAACAGGAGTGCACAGCCTGCATGCCACCTATGAAACAAGTGTGGCCCATCCCTATTTACCTGGTTGTTAAGAAAGGCTTCTGCTTGCTTTGTGTCTCTGAGGAAGAGCTGGTAGGCATGAGACTGGGAGAGAAGATTCTGCCGGTTCTCCCACATTTTGTGCAGCTCATTCCATCCAGTGTCCAAGGCTTGCAGGCGCTGGTGCAAGAACATATACTGAGCATCTGTTTGCCCTTGTGTGACCATCTCACCCATGTCCCGCATTTTCTGATAGTCTTCCTCATAATTGTTGATTTCGTTCTTAATATTCTCATGTTGCGTGAGCAGTTTCTCTGCTTCCGTCAGTGTGTTCGGCATGTCTTCCGAGGCAATGGCAGTCTGGGTACGGGACAGCCAGGACTGGAAGTCATCCAGGTCACGCAAGAACTGCTGCAGCTTGCTGGCCTCCCCGAGGGACTCTTCACGGTTCTTCAGGGTGGTTTTCATCTCTTCCCAAACATCACTGATTTCAGCAAGTCGGGACAGTATGGCTTGAGCTTGGTCAGGATGCTCCGACTCTAACTTCTCAGCCTCTTTCTGGAGGTCGCTTAGCTTGGCCTCAATAGCAACCAAGTCACGTTCCATTCCAGTCAGCTTCCTCTGAAGAGCAATAACTCCAGCCAGATCATTGCCAAGCTCTTGGGTGGATTCAATAACTTTAGTCTTCTCCCTGATCCAAGATTTGGTTTCATTACATTCAAGGTGATAGTTCTGGATACTGAGAGCAGAGAGGAGAGCATCCTTCTTTATGTCCACTAGTTCTCTGAATTGACTCCACCTGGAACAAAGAACCAAAAAAAGGGGGGGGGGATTCAGAAAGCAAATTAATTAATTGCCCCACTTTCCAAAACTAAATAAGAAACCAATCAAACGCATGAAACATTTTGCTTCCTTTCCTCTCTCCACTGTAAACAATGAACATAATTTCGGTGCTTCTACTGTTGGGAACCTTCCACTTGCCAGATGTTTAGACACAAATTCCCAGCAGCATCAATAAGTGTGGCCAACAATAAGAAATTGTGAGAGTTGTAGGCAAAAGCATATAGAAAGTAATGCTTTCTACTATATTACACAAATAATCTGAAGACGAATGGAAAATTTTCTGTGTGCTGCACTGTACCTAAGGTTCTTATTAATGATGATGACTTGATACAAATGTTAGAATCTTTGCATAACAAAAATAGGAGAACCTTCCTCTTGCTTCCTGTATTATTATTATTTTGGCACACTGTTACTCAACTTTAAAGTCTTAAGTCTGAACAACATGATGACAATTGCTCATCTTATTCTGCAAAAGCAAACTCATACTGTATACGTAGCTGAGCAAACAAAATGGCATAAAGAGCTCAAGTAACTTTCTATTTATGTGGATATAGTTTTAATAGCACTTACAGAGGTAGTAAAGATGCACTTAAGAGTACAAAAGACAGGTAAAAGTAAATATTCCTCACCTTGTATTGAGCTTATCTTGCTGCGCTTTGATTTCCTTTTCATTGGGATGTCCATTGTGTATCAGTTGTCTAGCAATCTGGTTAACCACAGCAACACGTGAGGCTTGATTGTTCATTTCTGGTTCTAGACTTTCAAATCTAGAGGTGGAGTGCGTAAGAAAAACAATGTAAATGTGCAGCCAGGTGTGAAACAAGATGAAGAATGAAACAAAAAGAGCCAATGAAAGCCATCTCACCTGTGCTGGATCACTTCCAGGTCTTCTAGTTTCTCAGGGATCTCTGTGTTGTTTAGCCATTGCTCCTTCTCATCAATCCAAAGCTCGCAAGCATCTGCCTCGCTGAACATTTTGTACAGAGCCAAAGTGTCCTGCAGGGCTTGCTTACGAAGCCGTGTGAGTTCAGCAACCTCTTTGAACCTCTCTTCTATTCCCACCAGCCTGTTCTTCACATCTGTCGACTCGGCATGTTCCTGTGGCAAGGCTCTGGCTTGTTCGTGAAGAGAATCAATGATTGATCTGTAGCTTGCAATCTCTTCAGCGACATCTTTGTGTTTCTTAACCAAGGACTGCGTGGAATACTCATCATGGCCGACATCACTGCTGGAGACAATCTTGAGGATGTCCAACATCCATGTGTCAATGTCATCGGCATCAGCTTGGAATTGGTGAAGGAGGGATGCTTCTTCCAGGCGCTTCTTCCTGAAGGCAGAGAGCTGTTCCAGGTTAGCCCACTGATTCTGGATGTCTGTAATCCTCTCTCTGATCTTCTCAGACCCAAAGTGATCCTCAGCGATCATATCTTCCCCTTCCTTGATGGCCTGTTGGAAGTGGCTGCTCCGACCACTCATTTCATCTTCAAATGCCTTATGCTTGCTGAGAAGCCGGACGATGCTGGTTAAGTCTTTTCCATAGTCATCTGATGATAAGATCTGCTCCTTTTCTCTTATCCATCCCTCCTCTTCAGCCATTTCCCAGAAGAACTTCCATAAGCGCCGGGATTCTTCCAAACGGGCTCGGCGTTCTGCCGATAACTGACATAATTCTTTGTAGCAAAACTCCATGTGAGCCACACGGTCTCTGATAACTTGTGGGTCACATGGTTTGTAACCTATCAACAAGCAGAGACAAAGAGAGTTGTGGGAGAGTGACATGGAAAATGAATTCACTGTAGAACAGTCCAAAAGTATTTACAACAACCAAAGTTAACCGAATTCTTGTTGCTTTATGCTTGCTCATAGATTCATCAAATGAGATCATCCTCAACTTAGCACATGCAATCTTCTGAAATGTCATCCTGAGGCATGTCAGAGCCTGCCCTTTGCTCGAACATGCTCTGAGACCCCCCATATTGTTTCACAGATGCACACAATCAGGTTCCAATCTGGTATTGTGCATGAAAACCCAGTTGCTGAACTCAGAACAGTATTGTTCTGCTCAATGGACAAGAACTTCCAAGATTCCCCCATGCTTGCTTTCTACCACCCCAATCAATGTGATGAGAGAAAACCAATAAGCTGCAGAGAATTGTGAAGGAGCCACAAGCAGGCAGCATAAACACGACACCATATAACATGACACTACTCTTTGATAGCGTGTGGCCCAATTTCAGTGGTGCATTGTGTTCTGTTACACTTGGCATGCTGGTTAAGGAAGATAAGGAAGAGAAGAAATAAGATAGTGGGGAAAATGTCAAATGTTGCAGATCGTGGACAGAATTCTCGTACATTTTTTTTTTGCAGCACTGCCCAGCAGTGATGTGGGAAGGTAGACAAAACCAGCCAGCTCAGAGCAGTGTATTTCTTTAATGTCTTACTTTCTCCAAGGCTGATATATCTGTAACCTTTTTGATCTTGCTGTCACCACCCACATTGGCACAGTTACATCAGTAACAATGAGACCGGGGCTTACGCCTCCTGTTTACTAGTGGAAAATGTTTGGACTTGGTAGATGGGTCTTGCTGGATACCAATTCAACGTAGACATAAACTATTGATGTGAGGAATCCAAAAAGTTAAAGGTACATTGGTGAAAGCTCAATACAGATACTATACTAGCTGTAAGTATAGCTAAAGAAACATAATATATACACAATGCTACTGAGTTTTATCAAATGATATCCTATAATGACTTTGTGCATACTATCAATATCACTGATCCACTACACCTAGTCTAGTATAAATAATGTGCCAGTGCCTCAATGTAAAATGGAATAGACATAGCCAAAGTTATAACATTACTTCTTGACTGTGTTAACTCTACACATTTAGAAGACTGGTGTCTTCAATCTCTAAAACCCAGTAAACATCTGGGAACAACAGGAATGCCTCCAAGGTCATGTAAAAAGTACCAGTCATACCCTCTCCATCTGTGGCAAATTTCTGTGCGGATGCATTGACTCCTCTCACTCTTTCAGCCTGAATGGAAATGTCAGCTTCAACAAGGGCATGTTTCTGCAGCAAGTCTTCTACTCCCAAGAGATGTTTTCCATAATCTTGAGACAGCAGCAATACCTGTACACACAAAACCAACCAATCAAAATTAAATTTGCATGGATGGTGTTTTCAACAGAGATGCCATAAAACCCACTCAACTCTCATCATTCAGACTTTTTTGTTCTGAGGGATGTACACACAAGGGGGGGGGGGGGAATCAAATATGAAAGTTGTGCAAACATAAAATTCAATGCATTTCTCACACCTGCCGGATTCTACAATACATACATAGGACTTTCCCCATTCAATTAGTAAGCATGTGCTTTTTGTATTCCAGTATGAAAAGAGAGATGGGCACCAACTCTATCACTGTAAGAAGCATCCATTGGTGCCAATGAAGCATCCAAAATGGCAGCCTTCTGATGAGTCCATATAGGAGGATTGATAGTCTAGGAATGAGCAACTGGAAACCTTTTAGATCAGGCCTGGACAAACTTCGGCCCTCTAGGTGTTTTCAACTTCAGCCTACCTGCTGTTAGGAATTGTGGGAGTTGAACTCCAAAATACCTAGAGGGCCAAAGTTTGCCTATGTCTCTTTTAGATGAATCTACCCTCCTGAGAAAGAACACTGACTGGCCTCCGAGTCTCAAGCAGATGCATCAAGGTAGCTGTGGCAATACCTTTTATTGGGAATACACTGTGGAAAATGGCATACAGTGGATCATCAACTTCCCTTCTGTTTCATTTTAGCTAATTACATTCATTTTATTGAAACTAATGGGTTTTGCAATTATTGTACATAGATTCACATATCCACCAGGAATGTATGTCCTGCAGATATGGGAATCATACTCATTTTTACCCCAGTTGAGTCCCAATAATGAAACTCAAAGTATTAGAACCAGTGCAATGACAGAGGAACTGAGAAGCAGGTGTAGCTTGGACAGGAGTCCTTATAATCCTAGAGTTGGAAGAGACCTCATGGGACATCCAGTCCAACCCCCTGCCAAGAAGCAGGAAAATTACATTCAAAGCACCCCCCCAATAGATGGTCATCTAGGCTCTGTTTAAAGACCTCCAAAGAAGGAGCCTCCACCACAGTTAGTAAGTAAAACCATGGATAAATGAAACCACTGATATCAGTTCTGTGGATAAAGGTCATGCTCGTTCCTCATGCAAGTACAGAACCTGAGCCATCAGCTAACAACTACCCTGTGAAGGGCCTAACTCTGAACCTCCTGAACCTTCTCCAAGCTCAATTATCTCCCATGTTGGCCACTTACCTTCATCTCGTCCATCCAATCCATAATGTACAGCATTTCCTGGAAGATCTTCTGCAAACCAAGGTTCATCTCCAGCCGTTGCCTGCGCGCCTTGAGCAGTTCCAGGAGGTACTCCCACAGGCGGATCACGTTATCTTTCCTTGCGGTGATGCGCTTGATATCATGGTAATTCTCGGCCTCAAGCTCCCTGGCAACGGCAACCACTGCCTGCACTCTTTCTTCATATGCCGCAATGTCAGTTTCGATAGCTTCATGCTTTTTCGTGGCAGCCTCCACTGCTGGGAGGTCAAACCCAAAGTTATCCTGTAAACACAATGGGTTCTGTTTAACAGTTCTATCAAACCAAGAACCACATCTTGGAAAAGTCCTTTGTTTTCGACTGCAATACCAAGAAAACTCAGTCAGCATAGCCATTGGCCATTTTGGCTAAGGATCCTGAGAATTGTAGTTCAAAAGGACAAATATTTCCAAGTTCTGGAATTTATCATTCTACTACTTAAAGCTGTAGGGCTTCCAATAAACAATCCAAATGTTGTCAGACTATGGGCATGAATTATCCCTGGAAAAGGGATGGGCTATATATCAAGGGACAGGTGTAAAGGGTTTAGTGGTTGAAATAAGTGAGTGTTCCAAGGTTCTGAAATCTAGTCAGCATATTTAATGGCCTAGCAGTTTCAAGGTCTGGCTTCTTACTGCCCAGGGGAATCCTTTGTTGGGAGGTGTTAGCTGGCCCTGATTGTTTCTTGTCCAGAGTTCCCGTGTATCTTTATTTACTGTTATGGTTTTAGTGTTTTTTAAAATACGGATAGCCAGATTTTGTTCATTTTCATGGTTTCTTCCTTTCTGTTGAAATTGCTCACATGCTTGTGGATTTCAATGGCTTCTCTGTGTAATCTGACATGGTAGTTGTTAAGAGTGGTCCAGAAATGCCATACAGCCTGGGAAACTCACAACAACCCAGTGCGTTCTTCAGTTTGCAAAAGCTCAGTGTAAAAGGGTTTGCAATGCAATCCTACACAAGTCTGTTCAGAAGTGATTGAGCATAATATTGTAGCTTTAGTCACCCAAACAATTCCGTTTATTAAAAAAAAAGGCTTCACCTGAGAAACCAGACGCTGGTTTTCGCTCAGCCACGTCTCCCTCATAGCTGCCTTGCGGTCAAATCTGCGGGCAAGTTGTTCCAGTTTCTCCTGTCGGATGAGCTCATTTCGCAGGGCCAGTTCTCTTTCATGTTCAGCTTTTTCCAGTCTTTCCCAGGCCTGAGGAATGGGAGGGGGAATTAATTTTTCAAACGTTATTTACATAAATCAAAGAAAAACCCTGAGAGATCTCCAAAGTCTGCTTTAGCACCAAATCAATGTTGCACAACATTAATAATAATAATAATACGGAAATATCTGGATTGCATGTCTTAATGACGGGAAGAAAAGAAATAAGGACTGAACTTGAGATTTGGGGTTGGCCAAAGCACTGCAATGGTTCCAGTTTTGCTTCTGGCATTTTACAATGTTGTAAAACAGACATAAAACTAGATTATTATCTGAGCCACACTCTTTTTTGCAGTTCGTTTTAGAACTTTACACTTCTGTGAGATCTAAACATACAATGAATCAGACAATTCATTGGATGCTCAAGAACTGCTTTCAATTAGAAGCAGGACAGGGTGCAAAATGTCATGACTGCACTGAATAATCTGAAAGTGTTGCTAAGGAGACAGAAGCAAATAAAATAGGTGTGGAAGTGGTCTATTCATTTTTCTCTACTTTGCATTGCAATGTATGTAAAATGTGAAATCAGGAAAGCTAGTATGTCTCAAACATTATAATAAAGCCAAAATCTCAAGCATCTTAAGCAGGCATGGGCAAACTTGGGTCCTCCAGGTGTTTTGGACTTCAACGCCCACCATTCCTAACACCCAAGTCCAACTCATTTGATTAGCTTTTAAATTTGAAGGAAGGTCTTAAATAATGACTTGTGTGTTTCAAATAAATGCTAAGAATCAAGTTTAGCTTAGATAGTTTATCAAGCAAACAGATCTACAGATAGTTAGACAATGTTCAGGATAAAAAAGCATAGCGCAGGTATGGGCAAACTTAGGCCCACGGGCCGCATACAGCCTCTTGGGCTCTTTTCTCAGGCCCTCCTCTCTCTCACCATCCTAACCTTCCTTCTCTCTTTCCTTCCTCCTTCCCTTCCTTCCGTATCTCGGTATTTCTCCTTCCATCCTTCCCTCTTTCCTCCCTCCTTCCATCCCTTTCCTCCCTCCACTCTCTCTCTCCCATTTTCTCCCTCCTTCCCCCACTCTCTTCCTTTCTTCCCTCTTTCCTCCCTCCTTCCCTCTCTCCCTCCCTCCCCTCTTCTCTCTCTCCCTTCCTTTCTTCCCTTTCCTCCCTCCTTCCCTCTCTCTCTTCCTTTCTTCCCTCTTTCCTCTCTCCTTCCCTTCCATCTTTCCTTCCTCTTTCTCTCTCTCTCTCATTTCCTTCCCTCTTTCCTCCATCCCCTCCCACCCCTCTTTCCTCCCTTCTTCTCTCTTTCCCCTCCCTCCTTTCCTTCCTTCTTGCCTTCCCTTTTGTCATTCCTTCCTTTTCTCTTCCATCCCTTTTTCCTTCCTCCTTTCTTCCTGGGGGATGTTTAGCTGGAAGAAGAGAAGGGAACATGAGAACCATCTTTCAAGATTTAAAAGGCTGTCCCACTGAGGAGGAGAAGGGGGAAAGCGACTTTCTGTTGTTCTAGAGAACAGGGCACAAGGGAGCAATGGATTCAAATGGCAGGGAAAGAGAGTTGATTGAAAATATTAGGAAGAACTTCCTGGGGAGTGGCATAGGCTGCCTCGGAGTGTGGTGGAGTCTCCTTCTCTGGAGGCTGTCTACAGGGAGCTGCATGACAGGGGCTTGGACTGGATGGCCCTTGGGGGTCTCTTCCAGTTCTAGGATTCTATATCAGGAGTTGGCAATACGGGGTCTAATGGATACACTTTTTCTCTCCCGTCCACCATCTTATTCTGACCAAGGATAAACCTTTTGGGATTCAAATGTTTCCCGTCTTTCCTTCACTTTATTCCTCCAAAAGAGAAGAGAAAAGGGAGTAAAGGGTGGGGAGGGGCCTTGGGGAAGACCCCCTCCCTCCTGGCCTGCCCATCCCGCTCCCGCCCACCATGCAGCCCCCAAGTTAGAAAGTTTGCCCATGCCTGGCATAGAGGAATCCAGTAGCACTAACTAGACAACCTCATTTAACTCAGTTAGTCTCAAAGATGCTACTGGATGCTTTTATGACTTTTTTTGTTGCTAAAACAGATGAAAACATATATCTCTCTGAATGTTCTTCAAGATTCCTGGTAGACGCCCTGCTGATTGGAACCTAAGCATTTTTAGGACCTTACAGGCAAAAGCATGTGAAAAATGTCCAACAGGAGCACATGGGCAAGAGGTAGCATTTATCACGGTAATTGTGGAGAGAAGTAACAGGCCATCTGGGAATTCCAGGCAGAAATGAAAGGCAAATGAGGAATGATTATCTTGTTTTAAAGCATTTTGTTATCCCCCAGGGATCTGGCCAAACGGGTTGCTGTTCATCCGGTTAGACCAGCACAGCAGCAGCCTGTCTTCTTTCCAAGGATCCTGGCTGCATTCCAATCAGATTTTTCACAAGCTTTCCCCCTCCTTCTGTACCAGCCTCTTCTCCCTTGTCCATCCCAGAAAATTAGTAACTCTATGTACATGCCAGTGAGATGTTCTGGTCAAGTTCCACTGGATCTTCAGAAGATCACATTTGGTCTATTCATTTCCACAGGACTTGTCAGGATGAACTTGCCAGAAAACAATGTTGGTTAATTCCAACTACAGTAAAGTAAAGGTTCCACCTGACATTAAATCTAGTCGTGTCCAACTCTGAGGGATGGAGCTCATCTCCATTTCTAAGCCAAAGAGTCAATGTTATCCATAGACACCTCCATGGTCATGTGGCCATCATGACTGCATGGAGCGCAGTTACCTTCCTGCCAAGGCAGTACCTATTGATCTACTAACATTTGCATGTTTTCGAACGGCAAGATTGGCAGAAGCTGGGCCTAACAGTGGGAACTCACCCTGTTCCCCAGACTTGAACTGCCAAGCTTTCGGTCAGCAAGCTCAGCGGTTTAACCTGCTGCACCACCAAGGGGTAAAGTAGAGAAAAATCAATAGACAAATACCCACACCCAGTAAAACAATTACATTAATTTTTCAATGAGGAGTCAACACTTATGTAAACCCTATTTATTCAAAGGGTCTATTCAACTCTACCAACACCATTCAGGACTATGTGTCTTCTGCTCTGCAGAAGGATACAAGGTGTAGTTCTGTTTTAAAGCACATCAGTTTACAAGTACATTTCAGTTTGTTTCTGTAGAGCTAACTGTTTATTGTTGTGTGCCTTGAAGTCATTTCCAACCTAAGACAGGCATGGGGAAATTTCAGACCTCTGGGTGTTTTGGACTTCAACTCTCACAATTCCCAACAGCTGGTAGGCTCTTAGGAATTGTGGGAGTTGAAGTCCAAAACACATGAAGGGCTCAAATTAGTTCATTCCTGCTCTAAAACTATTCCATCATGGGTTTTCTTTGTGACTTGCACAAAGTTGGTTTCCAGGCTGAGCAGGGAAACAAATCCTGGTCTCCAGAACTGTAGTCTGTACATGAACACTGATAAGAGTGTAATTGTAATTTAAGTGGTTGCTCTGAACCAGAAAATCAGGGAATCTTAAGAGCTGGAAAGGACTACGAGTGTAATCTAGTCCAACCTCTTGCCATTAATAAATACAAAATTTGGACATTCTTATGGAGTTGAAGATCTCAACCCCCCCCTCCCCCCCCCCCAATCCATGTAGTGTATTCCACATTCCGAAAACTCTTACAAATTCTTCCTAATGTTAAGGTGGACCCAGTTTCTCTTATAATTTGTACCCATTGATTTGTGTCCTAGTTTCTGGAGCAGCAGGAAAACAGCTTGCTCCGTCTGTGTGACATCCCTTCAAATATTTAAAAGCCGCTATCATATAACAGCTCAGTTTAAATTAATACACAAGGCCCATGTATTAGATGCATCATTATGGGGGAGAATCAAGATGGAAACTGAATCAGTAACCTGGAACAGGGCAAGTAACAAGTCAAAGAGTGGATTAGTGAGAGAAGGCATGATCTAACAAGAACCTATGGGTTCAGTCTACAGGTTTGCATTTGGCTCATGGGTCAAAGTTTTCCCAGCTCTACTAAGAGCTTGTAAGATTACTTTAAAAATAAAATAACAATGCTCTCAGAACCATTCCCCACCAAGCTTAATCATTGGTTACACTGGCTAGGTAGGGGACTCTACTAATTATAGCCAAGGACCTTTCCAAGCTGTATTATTTGCAGCCGTTTGCCTACCAATAATACAATAGACAGGAATCATTCTGCAGCCTTAGCTAGGACAGCTAATTCCGAAGAATGCTGGGGCATGCTGTACAGTCCATTAGCCTCTGGAGAGCTGCAAGATTTTCAACTGGCTATGGGTAAGTCCACTGTGGCCACTCCTAACTGGCCCCGGAACATCAGGTAAGCTTCTGGCTGTTGTGAATGCCCCATTCTGATGTCAACAGATGTACCCATGTGGCTAGGAAGAAGATGGGGAGATCACTAAGGTTGTGTGGGTGTCTCTGCTGTCATCGAATGAGGTGCCAGGGGTGGCTAGGAGCTTGCATGGAGTTCTGCAGCCAATTGGGAGGGGAAAGACAACGCACAAGACGGGAGGATGGTCTAACGCAATGGTTCTCAACCTGTGGGTCCCCTGATGTTCTGGCCTTCAACTTCCAGAAATTCTAAGAGCTGGTAAACTGGCTGAGATTTCTGGGAGTTGTGGGCCATAAGTCCTGGGGACCCACAGGTTGAGAACCACTGGTCTAATGAATCCATTGTGGTCTTGGCCCATTTGGACCATGTGAATGATAATGTGGTGCTGCAGTAGGTCCAGCATGATGCATATGGCTGACTCCAAGGTCAATCTGGAACATTTATGCTCTGGACTGGCCGTAGATTTACTGGCCAATGTAGACTCACCCTTAGAGGGATCCTTCTGGCATTGACTTTAGCATGGATTCAAACTGCTCCCTCTGAATGGCCTTTGCCCTGTGCATTGTAGGTTGCCAATTACCCTTCAACTCCTGGCTATATATCCTCTCAAGATCCTGGCAGTGGACTATGCTATAAATCCATTTATGACTTCAACTGCATAACTGCTCTGTTCAGCTACCATCACTAATAGGGGTATTGGTGAACACATTAAAAAAGGCATTGGATTTACCTTATTGATATCTGAGATGAGCTTCCCTTCCCTGGGCATGTACACTTTTTGATTGTTAGCCCTCATTTTGCTCTGAATAGTGAAAAGCAGGACTTCGAGGTTTCCTTTTTCTGTGAATCTACAGAGAAGAAGGAGTAGAACAAACACAGAGGGGAATATAACCTTTCCATTGAAATGTTAAGGACATTTTCATCCAAAAATTTGTACAAATTACATTTAAAAAAAGATTCACAACTTCCCATCTCAGTTATTTCATACATCACAGTCTGGAGAGAGACATCAACCAGGCATGTTGCATTTCCGCTTATGAAATAATTGGAGTGATTTCTTTTTAACATTTCTTCTTGGGCTATTTGCTTTGTCTTACTTTGCTGAATTCAGAATGTAATTCAGAATATGACTGGAGAAGCTCTTGTCTTCAATATCTATACATCTTGATGAACTACAATTCACATTATGTCAACCACTGCCTATGCTGGCAGATAGTTTTTGTAGTCCCAAACATGTAGAAACCCATGAAGCTAATAGAAGCAAGCTTTCAAGATGCACAGAATTCTTGAGTTGAAAATAATAATAACTCTGTCCAACTTAAAATCTTGCAAATTTCCCAACACATAAATTGTAATAGCAACTACCTCTACTTAGTCACTGGCATTGCCCCCCTGATGTGTGATGGGAGGTTGCTGCCACCTTTGAGAGAAATAAGGTTGAACACTGTGAAAGCTGCCAACTATATGGCTATCAGCCTCCTCCCAGTAGACTTACATCAAGGAAAAGTTTAATGAGAACCACCATTCCTCTAAATGTTCCGCCAGCAAAACATAGAATATCCCTCTAGGCAGTGAAATCAGGCAATTCCAACTGAATGGCCCCCCACAAGGGTCTTCCTCCAGGGACAAAGCAAGAATGGGCAACTTGGAAGTCCCTGAACAGACTCAGAAGTGGAGATGGCAGATCAAAAGATAACCTGGGAAAATGGCACTACCTAGAACAGTAGTTCTCAACCTGGGGTCCCCAGATGTTTTTAGCCTTCAACTCCCAGAAATCCTAACAGCTGGTAAACTGGCTGGGATTTCTGGGAGTTGTAGGCCAAAAACATCTGGGGACCCCAGGTTGAGAACCACTGACCTAGAAGAATCCACCTTCTTGTGGGACTGTGGAGCAAACAACTCAGCACGTGTATGCTTGCCCACAATGCCTTGCCTCATGCACAGAGGAAAAACTACTGTACTTAAAGCTACAGGCAATGTGGTTGCTATTGCCTGTTTTTGGTCTAAAATTATTTAGCTGCTTGTGCTCCCTTCATCAGTTTTATACTTATTTATTTATGCCATGCTTTTGACATGAAATAATAAGTTACTATTGAAAGTTACAACTTGTAATTGCTCAATAGAAGATTTATGTGAGTGTTTTTTCAGATGTTGCACAAGGAAATATTTCAATGGTCTGCAACAGACTGTTAATCCCCACAACCGAAAGTCCTTCCACCCTTTTGGTTGTTGTGTACACATTTATGGCATGATCGCATTACCATATACATAACTGCCATCATCCTTACACCATGTTATGATGTTTGTAGTTCAGACCTTGTTGTCCTGTTTGTGGTGAAGGCAGTTTACTGGAGACTGACCACAAAATTAAGCAAGACACAGATGTAATCCAGACGAGTGTCATGAAACTGCTCAAAAGACGTCAGATGCTATCTACACACAAGCCGAGAGCACAGCACAACAGCCCCTAATTGTCCATAATTATAAGATATATAAACTGCCTAGAGAATTCCCATCTCTTTGGGAAAATTGGAAATAATTGTCTCTATATAGGGTTTTAAAAAAAGAAGACTCCTACTTGGGTGGCTTCTCCACTGTGCGGTAGGTGTTGAATGCTTGTAGCTGTTGCTGTACTCCAATCAGCGAGTTGGCAAATTTGCGGTTGTTCAAGATGATGATGGTTTGCTCAATCCACTCGAGGAGATCAGAAGCCAGCGACTCGTACTTTTCAATCATCTTCTCTGTTTCAATGGCATTGTCAAGCACCTATGAAATAGGAGTTCAAAACAAGCTGAGTTGCAAGGCCAGGCTGTTGGAAATATGGTTTATGCTCTACACCTGCAGAAGGGAGACAAGTGCTGCAAAAGAAGCTTATGGGGGACACCTGTTGACTTTGGAAAAAAATAAAGCAATAAAATAGGAAGAGGGGAACAAGCCAGTTGACTTAGAATGAGTCCTTTCAGGATCCCAGGTGTTTTATAACACGTATGCTGAATGGCAGTGCAAGGCTTAAGAAAAAGACTGACTCTTGCAGAGCTTTAAGTCTTTAAGATCACACCTTAAGCCAGGCATGGACAAACTTGGCCCTCCAAGTGTTTTGGACTTCTACTCCCACAACTCCCATGTTATTGACATGTTCATGTGTTTGTATGTAAATGTTCCATTTCAATTCAATAACAATCCTTTGGAGGATATAAATGGAAATTGGGAAGGAAAGAAATGAGAGCTGCTATGGTAATATACCATATATACTCAAGTATGAGCCGACATGAATATAAGGCGAGGCACCCAATTTTACCACAAAAAACTGGGAAAACGTATTAACTTGAGTACAAGCTGAGGGTGGAAAATGCAGCAACTACTGGAAAATTTTGAAATAAAAATAGATACCAATAAARCTACATTAATTGAGGCATCAGTGGGTTAAATGTTTTTGAATATTTACATAAAAYTGTAATTTAAGATAAGACTGYCCAACTCTGATTAAACCATTATTCTAACTTCTTCAATGTAAAYRTGCTTATGTATCCTTCCATTAATAATAATAATACTCTAGTTTCTCTTCAGATCATATAAATAATAATAATAATAATAATAATAACAAYAACAAAGAGAGTAAAATAATAAATGTAATAAATTATATAAATGTAATACAAACAATAATAGGGTAAAATATTATTACTGTTATTATTAAAMAGTAATAAYAGAGTAAAATAATAAATGTAATAATAATAGAKTAAAATAATAAATGTTGTAATAAATAGAGTAAAGTAATAAATGTAATAAYAACAATAGAGAAAAGTAATAAATATAGTAATAGTAAATAGAGCAAAATAATGGAAATGTGWTATTAACAGTAATAATAGWGTAAAATAATAAAAGTAATAAAAATAATAATAGAGAAAATGGATAAATGTAATAATAGAGAAAAATAATCAATATAATAACAGTAATAGAGTAAAATAATATGTAATAACAGCAATAAGATTAAAAATAAATGTAATAATAGGAGTAAAATAATAAAAATAATAGAAATAATAAGAGTAAATTATTATTATTATTATTATTATTAGAGTAAAATACATGTAATAAAATAATAATAACAGAGCAAAATAATAACCTTGATTCGAGCATAAGTCAAGGTTGGCTTTTTTCAGCATAAAAAAGGGCTGAAAAGCTTGGCTTAAACTCGAGTATATACGGTATATATAACTGGAAAAAATGTCAAAACTTCAGCTTAATTAAGGACATTTAAAAGAAAGCCAATACTCTCTGAATAAATTCACAGTTAACAACTCTTACAAAATCCACAGTGGGAAGCAAAAAGTGATTAAATTGGGAAATTAAAGTTTGAATTTTATGGTTCTCTGGAAGTCAGCATAAAATAAGATCTCGGTGGGCAGCATGGCATATAAAAACTTAGCTTACAAACCTTTCCGATACGTTTTCCTTCAACAGCTAATGCTTTCATCTTAGAAAAGTAGTGGTAATATGTCACCACGTAAGTGATAATGGACTTTTCATCAGGATGGTCAACACTGATATCTGAAAAAACAAGCAAAAAGATTTTTTTTAGTGCAGGGTTGGGTGGCCTGTGGCTTTAAAACAGCCCAAGGTACAACTATACTTATTCAAGGATCAGCTGGTAAACTAAATGGGACCAGCTGTATACTTAGCTCCTTCCTTTCAGAGGCTAGTGAAGTTACTGTCTGGACTATAACTCCTAGTTATCCACCATGCTGAGTGGGGGATTCTGGAACTTTTTTCAGCCCTGTTCTCTCCAAATATCACCTCATTGTACTGAACTCATAATGCAGTGATACCAAATTCTGGGTTTTTTTTTTTTTGTGCTGGTATCCTGGCCTTTACTCCAAGGAGTTCTCCAGGCTTCACTTCATTTTCACAACACCCTTCTAAGGTAGGTTAATTTCAAAAATAATAACTGATGCAATGACCTTTGTGACTTTAATGGGAACTTGAATCGGAGTCTCCCTTGTCCCACTCCAACATACTAAGAACTTTGCTGCACCATTTCTCAAATGAGTTTCCCCAAACTCATTCGGTGTCATTGATTCCACCTGATCAGAAGCAGTAAAATACAAACTGGTAAGATAGAAATGATACCTAATGGTTTTTTAAAAACAAATATTATATAGTGGGAAGGTGAGGAAATAGGACATTATTCTAAGTATATCAACAGCAACCTCAGGGGATAATTCTACACCAGGCATGGGCAAACTTTGGCCCTCCAAATGTTTTGGACTCCATCTCCCCCAATTCCTAACAGCCTACTGCAACTTCAGGGCATAAATCTACACAAGACATGGGCAAGCTTCAGCCCTCCAGATGTTTTCAACTCCAACTCCCACAATTCCTAACAGCCTACTGCAACTTCAGGGCATAAGTCTACATCAGACATGGGCAAGCTTCAGCCCTCCAGATGTTTTCAACCCCAACTCCCACAATTCCTAACAGCTTACTGGCTGCTAGGAATTGTGGGAGTTGGAGGCCAAAACACCTGGAGGGCCGAAGTTTGCCTGTGGCTGGTCTACACTGTAGAATTAATACAGTTTGGCACCACTTTAAATGCCACTTTAAGTCAATGCTAGGGAATTATGAGAGTTACAGTTTAGTGAAACAACAGTATTCCTTGGCAGAGAAGATCTTGAGAAACCACAGCTCCCAAGATTTCACAACACTGAGCCATTAAATGAAATGATTTCTTCCCTAAGTAGAAATATATGTGGCCTGAAATGTACTTCACAGTAGATGGTCTGTAAAAACACTTCTTTATTTTTGTGTATGGGTTCATCTGCATTGTAGATTTATTGCAGTTTGTCACTACTTTAACTGCCATGGCTAAGGCATCTTGGGATTTATAATTTGCTGTGCTCTTTGGAAAAGAAGACTAGAGACTTTGTGAAACGACAGTTCCCAGGATTCCATAGCACTGACCTACAGAAGCTAAAGTGGTGTCGAACTGCATTAATTCCATGGTGTAGATGCATCCTGAAGTTTGGGGTTGGAGGATTGTAAGAAGGAAAAAGACATTAATTTCAGAAAGACATTAATTGGGGAGTTTCTTACCCTCTGGGTCCAAGAGTTTAGTAAGGCCAAGGTGCTGCTCCGCTAGGTTAAAAGCATTCTGTAGATTGTAGTGTGCATTTGATTTCTTCAGCTTATCAAAATCAATTAGATCAGGCCTAAGGAAGGAATTGGGAAAAAACAATGAAAAGATTAGCAAAAGTGTCTTCATTACAGAAATCCCTTTTTATCAACATGTGAATGAACTGAAATAGAGTCAGAGACAGAAGGAGAAAAAAGAGTCGGGAAGGAGTGAGCATACCTTAGATGAAGCTACACAAAGCATGCCATTTTCAATTTTTATAGGACAAACTCATTTGTGGTGTATCATTGTTGAAGTATTTTAAGATTCATCATGAGCATTAGGGGATGAGATATAGTTTCAGGAGTGGAAAATGGAATATGGCAATGCAAAAGAAAATAGCAAGTGAGAAAGGGAGATGTGTGCATGCAAAGGAAAGATAGTAAACCAGAGAGAATATATTTCAGGAGCATTAGTGGGAGAATGGAGGAGACAACGGTGAGGACAGAAGATTTTCCTTATGATTGTATTATTCTCATGACAGCTAGAACTTAAACATTTGGATATGACCCATTGGTTGGTGGCAGATACCTAGTTTTAAATAAAGGTAAATGTTTCCCCTTGACACTAAGTCTAGTTGTGTCTGACTCTGGGGAGTGGTGCTCATCTCCATTTCTAAGCCAAAGAGCTGGCATTGCTCGTAGACACCTCCTAGGTCATGTAGCCAGAACGACTGCATGGAGCACCATTACCTTCCCACAGAAGCGGTATCTATTTATCTACTCATATTTGCATGTTTTTGAACTACTAGGTTGGCAGAAGCTGAGGCTAACAGCAGGAGCTCACCCTAACTGTGGATTTAAACTGTCAACCGACCGATCAGCAAGTTCTGCAGCTTAGTGGTTAGTGCGCAACCACAGCTCCCAAGTTTTAAGTGAGTATTATTTTTATATTATTATTATTAACTCTTACTATTAGGTAGTATTACTACTACCATATGAAGGTCAAGATTCAAAGAACAATGGAAAAGTTCTGCACAAAATAAGGAGTTTCTTCATCATTTTCAAGAGAACTATTCCCATGGCAGAAAAGACAAGCTGTTCTATACATGAAACAGCATTTGGTTTTATTGAGCAGAGGAAAGTATTTTGGGGGAATGAAGTTCCAACCTGGTGCAAATTCCTCATTAAGGAAGATCAAGTTAATGACATAATTGAGTTATTACAATTTTAAAATGATAAATTAACACAATTACATGGTGCTTTATAGAGCAATGTGAATAAGACACAGCTGCTAAATGGGTAAACAGGGCAAAAGAAGGAGGCAAAAGATGATGCATTTGAACAAAAAGTAATAATACTCAGAATGTCCAGTTTACATGGGAGTACACCACAACAAACAAAGGACTTACTTCAAGAGCACATTTTGAAGACTAGGCTATAAATAGAGTAGGCTGTCCATTTTTACAGGGATATGGGGACAGAACCTCCACAAAAATGGAAAAATTAAAAATGCATGGGTTTTTTTTAAACTGAGCAAATACTTCTCTAAGAATCTCTAGTTACTCCAGGGTGGCTCTATGGTCAACATTTGTTTTCTGCTGCCCTGGAGACTAGGAAACAGAACAATGGCTTCAAACTACAGGAGAGGAGATTCCACCTGAACATTAGGAAGAACTTCCTGACTGTGAGAGCTGTTCAGCAGTGGAACTCTCTGCCCTGTAGTGTGGTGGAGGCTCTTTTTTGGAAGCTTTTAAACAGAGGCTAGATGGCCATCTGTTGGGGGTGCTTTGAATGTGATTTTCCAGCTTTTTGGCAGTGGGTTGGACTGGATGGCCCCTGAGGTCTCTTCCAACTCTATGATTCTATGATTTGCCAGAACGCGGAATTTGAACATCTGGTGGAAGTTAATCATTGAGTTGCCCTGGAAATTGCAGAGATTCTTAGAAGGAACATATTGAGCAAAATCACAAAATGTGGAGGGTTGACTGTTTTGGGGAACAGGCGCATAGGATGAAACTAAAGTCATCAAAAGGAGAGTAAAATTTTGGAGTTTGAAGAGGTAGACACAAGGGACACAACAAAGGTATTCTGGAAAGAGAGTGAAGACTTATTATGACCAATGTGTAAATCTGCATCCTTTGGTGCAGCAGCTGTTTTGAAAAAACTCATCAACCTTCGAACAAATGCCCACCTGTGTTTGTGGATTAGTGCGTTGAAAGCCATGCCGTCCCTCCAGCTGGTGGTGAAGTTGTGAATGTTGACGTTGGGATAGCTGACACAACAACAGAATCAAAAAAAGGGGGTGGGGGAGAAAGAAAACTCAAGTCAATATAGGATTAATGCTCAGAAAGATAAAAAATGAGCTGCATCAACCAGCTGCTCACCCATGGATGCACTCAAGAAGCCTTTGAATTACTTGTTGCAAGACAGGTTATGGCCTGTTATATCAACCTCTGACAACTCTGCTTGGAGAAGTCTACTTTGATCTGTCATCCTCTATATCAGTGGTTCCCAAGCTTTGGTCCTTCAGGTGTTTTGGACTGCAAGCCTCCGAAACCTCAGTCAGCTTACCAGCTATTAGGAATTGTGGGAGCTGAAGTCCAAAATACCTGGAGGACCAAAGTGTGGGAAACACCGCTCTAGATGCACTAACTAGGAGTCCTCTACTTTTGATCTTCCAGAGGAAACAAATTTGCATGTTCCAAAACAGCTGAAATTTAAAACATCTGGAGGTCTTAACAGCCAAGAGCCATTGCCTCAGACTATATCTCTCATAAACCCTCAGCAAACACCTGTAGGGTTCTGGAAGATTATAGCCCTAGATATCTGGAGGCAGTGATGGCTGATATCAGTGTGGTAAATCTGATTTGCATCTCATTCCAGCCCTTAAGGGAGCTATAATCTTGGACAGCTTCTTTACATTTTAGACTAAAAGCTGGGGCAGATGCATGGGTCTATTGGCATTACAGCAACTCAGGTGCTGTGTGGTTTCCAGGCTGTATGGCCATGTTCTAGCAGCATTTTCTCCTGGCATTTCACCTGTATCTATGGCTGTCAGCTTCAAATGATCCTCTGAAGATGCCACCTACAAATGCAGATGAAATGCTGCTAGACAATGCTGCTAGAACACAGCCATACAGCCCAGAAACCACAAAATACCCCAGTGATTCTGGCCATGAAAGCCTTCAACATCACAGCAATTGCTGTTTTTAGGGTTTCAGGTTGCAGAATGCTGTCTGAAGAGAAAATAACAAAATGAAGAAGATCCACTTACGGAATTGGAAATGAAACTCCCATTAGCATAGAAATCATCTAAATCTGCAATGGTGCACCAATGGATATTAAAAAGGGGATATGCCAGTTTGTAATCCTCTCTGAGCCCCTTTCAGGATGAGAAGGGTGGGATATAAATATAGTAAATAAATAAATATGCATGGGGTCACTATAGGAAGCCAAGGGGCTGGGATTGAGCCAGGCAAGAAAGAGGAACTCATCAGGGCAGCTGAAGATGCAAGCAGATGGAAGGAACCAAGACTCAAAAGTCTGGGGTGGGATACCCCCTTTGCATAGTCCAGCCAAATGACCAAACTCAGAAACAAGGAGAATAGGAAAGGGTTGTTGAATAGGGAAGGATGGGCTCTTTCAGCCTGAGGGTAAATTTTAGTTCCAGATAAGTTCTGATGGTAAGATCTACAGCTGCATCTTTGCAATGGATGGGATGCCAAATGGCAGTGCATTTAAGATGAAAGCTCTTAACTATCATTCACTAACCCTTCAAAAAAACATTTCAAAATTTTAGAAAAGGGGGGGGGGAGATATTTATAAATGTTGGAAAAGCACCAAATTATAGTGGCATTGTGGAAAAGGGTGAAAATCTGGAGAGTTCCCAAAGAGCTAGAATGGGACTCCAGTTACATTCAACGGCAAAACTTTTTCTAAAACCACAATGGAAAGTGGTCCACAATTGGTTTCTCTTTCTTCAATAACATAAATACCGCCCCCGCCCCCCCCCCCCTTTGTTGGAATTATTCACATAAAGATCATATTGTGGCAAAGGTCAGAACCCTTCCTTAAGAAAGAGAGGAACAAAAGTCTCCTCTCTTAAAGCAGGGGTGGACAAAGTATAGCCAAGGGCTGCAAGCAGCCTCCCAAAACTGGTTTTGCAGCCTCCAATTCCTCCAAACTCTCTGGAAAGACATTTCTTACGGCTCCATTGAAAGACAAATTGCCATCTCAGAAGCCTTCCAGAACAGCAATTTGAATTTTAAATAGCTTTAATATTTTAAAGCTATATTATTTCTCCAAATGGGAGGTGGACTCATAATTTTTTTTGTAGATAATCCCTAATGGCACTAAATTTGGATAGCCCCAGTGGCAGAAAAGGCCCACTGTAGTTGCAAATAATAATCAACCACATAAAAAGAAGACGGGACCCACATGAAAGGACTCGTTTCCCTTCCCAAAACTGGAAGAAGATTCAGAAGAATGATGTACATGTTCCATTTCAGAGAGGACAGCTATTTTAAAGACTGCTTATGTAAAATGTGTGGGCAGTGCAATGACTTAATGTTTGAAAAGGGCCATTGTCAAAGCAACAGCATTGATCTGAACCACTTTGTCCACAAACTACTATTGTGAATGGAACACCTCCCACTTATTCAAGGAAATCCCATTAGTCTGCTTTAGCATTACAAACACACGAAGTAGCACCTTTGGAACTAATCAGGGAGAAGAAAACTCTAGCGTAAGTTTTTGTTTACCAGAAGGATCTAAACCAGTGGTTTTCATCCTTCCTAATCCTGCAACCCCTTAATACAGTTCCTCATGTAGTGGTGACCCCAAACCAGAAAATTATTTTTGTTGCTACTACAAACTATAATTTTGTTATCTCATATGCAGGATGAATTTTCATTCACTGGATCAAATTTGGCACAAATACCCAATACACCCACATTTGAATACTGGTGGGGTGGGGTGGGTGAGGAAAGAATTGGTTTTGTCATTTGGGAGTTGTAGTTGCTGGGATTTATAGTTAACCTACATTTGAAGAGCATTCTGAACTCCACTAATGATGGAATTGAACCAAACTTGGCACACAGAACTCCCATGACCAACAGAAAATATTGGAAGGACTTGGTGGGCAATGACCTTGAGTTTTTGGAGTTGTAGTTCACCTACATCCAGGCAGCACTGTACACTTGGTACGAATACTCAGTATGCCCAAATGTGAACACTGGTGGAGCTTGGGGAAAATAGAGCTTGACATTTTGGAGTTGTAGTTGCTGGGATTTATAGTTCACCTACAATCAAAGAGCATTCTGAACTCCACCAATTATGGAATTGGGCCAAACTTTCCACATAGAACCCCAATAACCAATAAAAAATTCTGTGTTTTCTAATGGTCTTTGGCAACCCCTCTGATACCCCCTTGCAACCCCCTCCTCGGGGGTCCTGACCCCCAGGTTGGGAAACACTTATCTAAACAAATATAGAGTCCACAAAAGCTTAACATCTGCTTCCCAGTTGGTCCAGCTATAGAAATACATGGGAACACTATGGACTGCTGTAGACTTTATTTGAAGTGGAGAAATGTGAACAACGCGCTACACAGAGTTGGGAGATCATCAATTTTCAGTCTGGTGTTCTCCAAAGGCACTGGACTAAAGCACATATAATCTCCCTGTTGGTAGGAAATGATGGGAGTTGTAATGTTACCCAACCTGGAGCGTATAGGTTTTGGAGGGGCTGGCCTTCATTACTGCGTGATTCAAACTCACCCAGCTGTCTTCATCTGGCACCACAGCAATAGCGCATCTTTAGCAGATTTCTTCTCCTTGTTGTCTTCGGTTTCAACACTGATATCCTGAATCTGTGACATCACACACAAAAAGTGAGTAGCAATTCATTTGTCAAACTGATTTATTTGTCGGACTATTTATTTCATACAGGTTGAGAGCATAATTTTACAATATTATTTATTTCATACAGGTCTTTCATGCTGCTGAGAGCTTAATGTTACTGGAAAGGCAACAATTTATTTATTTATTTATTTATTTATTTATTTAATACACTTGTATACCGCTAATATCTCAGCCTAAATCGGCGACTCATTGCGGTTTACAACAGTTTAAAAGCAATATACAATTTAAAACAACAACACATAAAAACAATACAAATTATTGGGCCACCAATAATAATACTATGCTTCTCGTCACAAAAATCACAGTCCAGAGTTCGTCATCCATAATTAACCAGTCCTTAGTCCATAAATTCGGTGGTAACAACTAATTGAATGCTTGTTTACACAACCATGTTTTTAATCTCTTCCGAAAGACCATCAGCGAAGAGGCTGATCGTATCTCTATAGGGAGGGTGTTCCAAAGCCGAGGGGCCACCACAGAGAAGGCCCTGTCTCTCGTTCCCGCCAGCCGCACTTGGGAAGCGGTGGGATAGAGAGCAGGGACTCTCCAGAAGATCTTAGGGTCCTGGTGGGCTGATAGGCTGAGATACGTTCGGATAGATAAGTTGGGCCAGAACCGTTTAGGGCTTTAAAGGCCAACGCCAGCACTTTGAATTGAGCCCGGTAGCATATCGGCAGCCAGTGGAGCTGGTACAGCAGAGGAGTTGTATGCTCCCTGCGCCCCGCTCCTGTTAGTAACATGGCTGCCGCCCGTTGGACTAGTTGGAGCTTCAAAGGCAACCCCACGTAGAGAGCGTTGAATGAAGCAATGAATCACCCAAAAGGAGAAGTGAGTGTGCATAACTATTCATAACTATTATTTTGATGGACCACCCTTACGGTGCTTTTCTATTCTGTCACTTCTAGTAAAACCCAATATTGGGAGTGTCCATTTGTGTTTTAGCATGTCACCTTAACTCTAAACTCTGTTTAACGCTAAACATAGTTTGTTGAAAGAAACACCTATGCAAACCTATGGTTTGGTTAGCTTGCTTCAAACAAGCTGTAGTTGAGATTGACAAGTCATGCACTAGAAGCAGAAAATGTTTGGAATTCCTTATGCCTATGTGAAAGGACAATTATGTTTATGGGATAGTCCAGGCATGGGCAAACTTGGGCCCTCCAGGTGTTTTGGACTTGAACTCCCACAATTCCTAACAGCCTACCGGCTGTTAGGAATTGTGGGAGTTCAAGTCCAAAACACCTGGAGGGCCCAAGTTTGCCCATGCCTGGGATAGTCTATACATATGAGCTCAGGAAGAAATATTGTCTATCCCTGCCACAATGAACAGTTAGATTCATATGCAAACCCCGGCTTAACAAAGACTGGCAGTGGTCCAAGCAAAAATAAGCAACTTAATCCATGTGATTGTAATGTAAGTTCAGTGTGACTTTAGAGTCTGGCATGTTGTTTGGGTTGTGTCTATCAACTCTACAAGATTTAAGGTCTCTGCTTCAGAATGTTGAACCTTAATTTCAGGCTCAACATTCTGAAATTAAGCACCAGTAATACAAAATTCCTGATCCGGTTCAATACATACAAGGAAGTTAAGGAAACCTCTCCAAAGGAGAATGGAAAAGATATTTTAGATCTAGTGTAGCAAATACCAAAATTAACTGTGAGCAAATACCAAAATTAACTGGAAATCAGTTTTATTTACCTGGAACCTCAAAATAATAGTCCAAATAAGGCCAAGAGTTAGTCTGTGATTCCCATCCACGATATCATGAGATCCCATGTTTTCAAGATGCACTCGTTGCTCTTTCAGAAACTGGAGGGCTTTGTCAACATTTTCCAAGCAGTGGATGCGCATTCTTCCCTTTGTTGGCTTGGGCTAGATAGAAAAGAAGAAGAAAACATCACTGAAAAAGTCGCCACAAAAGGTTCTTTATTCCAAATTAACTGGCTCATATTTGGTCTTCAGGCTTCATGCGCCATTCTATGGCAATGGGTGTGTCCACATTGTAAAATTAAAGTGACATCATAACTTAACTTCACTACAACTTCAATGATATAAAAGTTGTAGTTTGGTGAGGGCACTAGCATTGTTGGGCTGAGAAAGTGAAAGACCTTGGAAAACCACAACTCCCAGAATCCATAACATGAAGCCATGGTAGTTAAAGTGGTGTCAGACTGAATTAAATCTACAGTGTAGATCAGGGGTCCACAAACTTTTTAAACAGAGTGCCAGATCACAGTCCTACAAACTGTTGGAGGGCCGGATTATAATTTGAAAAAAAAAACCATGCACATTGCACAATTTTAACAAATATAGACTTATTCGTATTTCAATGGGAAGTGTGGGCCTGCTTTTGGCTAATGAGATAGAGTTGTTGCTTTTGTTGTTGTGTGCTTTCAAGTCATTTCAGACTTAGGTTGACCCTGAGCGAGGGCTGGGTAAATTACCATGGAGGGCTGTATATGGCCCCAGGGCCTTAGTTTGAGGACCCCTGGTATAGTTGTGGTCCTCCTGGTATAGTTGTGGCAAGTTGTGATGCATTGCTATGAGTCTTCAAGCAATTTGTTGACCTATGGCAGTGGTTCCCAACCTTTTTTGACCAGAGACCTCTTTGAACAAGAACCACTCTCCAACATTAGTACCAGAAGGGTTACAAATCTGGTTTTGATCAGCTTTAGATTTGGTTTGGTTATTTGGGGTGCTGATTCAGAAAATTGCATTGGATGGACCACATCAGCTCTAGTTTCTGATACAGAACATATGCCATCCAGTAGTCGCCATCTTCTCACGCACAAAAAACCATATTTAATAAGCCTCATTGCTCTTGTTGCAACAGTATAGTAACAGTGAGGCTGCAGACCATATTTTAGTTCTTGCAGACCACTGCGGTCCATGTACCACATATTGGGAACCACTGACCTATGGCAACCCATTAATTTCATAGTTTTCAAGGAGTACTCAGACCTCATTTGTCTTTGAATTTTAGTCTGCAGCCCTTTGTATTCCATGGTGGTCTTCCATCCAAGTATTAACCAGGCCTGACCCTGCTTAGCTTCCCACACCAGAGTTCCTATATCTGCAAGTTTACCCATACACATCCATTGGTACACATGAGAGAATGCCGCTCTGGCACTCCCTTCCACCTAAGTGTGTTGGGAAAACTTTGAAGGTCAGTATGTTTACATGTTTATCAGAGCTCTTGTTCCCATCAGACTTCTTAGATGGGGGCAATGATTTCAAGCTCCAGACAACGTATTTCATGTCATATTGATTAGGTGAGGCTGTGAAGCAAAATGAGGCCAGCTTTACAAGGGCACATATCTTTCAGCATAATAATAAATAAAAACCCTGCATCTTTCAAGCTCCTGCTCCATCACTCATCATTGTTTGCTATAGCAATCTCTGCAGTAATCCCTTTAAATATTGTCTTTGTAATGCTGTTTTTTTCCTGGCCTGGAAATAAGTGTCGAAATATTTTTTGCTGCTTAATTTATTTCTGTCAGGCTTTGTTAAAGGCAATAGGGCAGGGTTAACCAAGCTGAGAAGGCATCTGTACTCAGCTTAAGTGGATGAGGGGGGAAAGGAAAGGGCCTGAGGCTGTTAGGAATTATGGGAGTTGAAGTCCAAAACACCTGGAGGGCTGATGTTTGCCCATCCCTGATCTACACTGTAGAATTAATGCAATTTGATGCCACTTTAACTGCCTTAGCTCATTGATACTTTGATGAGGCCCAGGACTTTATGGCAGAGAAGGTTAAAGACCTTGTAAAATGACAATTCCTATAATTCCATAGTCCTGAGCCACAGTATTTAAAGTAGAGTTGAAATGCATTAATTCTACAGTGTAGATGAACCCAGTCTCCACAAAGCTATGGGACACTCAGAATACTCTAAATAGTTCTCTCATCATCATCATTGTATTTACTTTGTTCCCCAAACTTAGATTATACTGTTAACTCCCCTTCCTTTTATGTCACCCTGTCTCATAACAACACACAAAATCATAACTTGCAATTGCAATAGATAAGGAAAATGAACCCCAAATGAAACATTTGTGAAGGTAGTTTATGGTGACCATAAGGCAAATGCAGTTTGTTCAGAGGATTGCCATTGCTTTCCGCTGAGGCTGAGAGAGTGCAATTTGTACAAAGTCACCCAGTTAGAAATAGCAACCTTCCAAGTCTCTACTAACTGGGTTGTTATAGGTTTTTTCGGGCTATATGGCCATGTTCTAGAGGCATTATCTCCTGACGTTTCGCCTGCATCTATGGCAAGCATCCTCAGAGGTAATGACCTCACTTCCTCTGAGGATGCTTACCATAGATGCAGGCGAAACGTCAGGAGAGAATGCCTCTAGAACATGGCCATATAGCCCGAAAAAACCTACAACAACCCAGTGATTCCAGCCATGAAAGCCTTCAACAATACCGCTACTAACTGTTTGTAAATGTGTATAATTGTTAATCTATATTGTATGTACATTTTGGTTTGCCAGTTTGGTTTGCCAGTTTGGTGTGGGAGGGGCTTCAGACACAGGACTCCATTTTTATTATGTTTTTAGATCTCAATGGAGGTGGGTGCAGTTTATCTCCTTTCAGACTTCAGTGAGTCCAGTTATACAGTTTGGACTATATCTATATTCTTAACGACATTGGACTGTGGACTCATATGCTGAATATATACAAGAAGTTTGTTAGTAAACCTGAGATGTTATTTTTAAAGAAGACTACTTTGTTTTTATCTCTTGAGTGCATATTTTAGCTAAGAGGTTCGAAGGGAGTGTATATCTTTTGGGTAATTACAATTACAACTGCAAATTCTACTTCAAAGAAATAATCATCTTCTGCTAACTAAATATATTTTTGTAATGGCATGTCTTTATCCTTGGCAGTGGCTTCTGCTCGCTTCTGGACATTTAATTGAATACCAAGTTTGCAAACTTTGTGTTTTTTTGTTTTGTTTTAAATGCAATACAACTGTTTGATTCGCTCCTGACACGATAAATAAATAAATCTTTGGCAGTTTAAAGACATGCTTCCTCAGTGTAACAGCTGAGTTACCTGTGTGCCATTACATGAATGCTTGCAAATATCACTTGTTCAAAGATTTGACTTTAAACAAGGTCATGCTTTTCTTGACTAGTGGTTTTCAAACGGTGGTCTCCACATGTTCATGGAGATTCACATTTGCCAAACGGATGTGACATTATTTTTACCTTTTCAATAAGGTTATGGTGCACTTATTTCCAATAGGTTACGGAATTTCCAATAGGTTATAGAATTTCCAATACCCAGTGGGTTGCCTTTCTATGGCTGAGCATGGATTCCAACCCTGGCCTCCAGAATTGAAATCCAACACTCAAACCACAATACCCTGCTAGTTCTCGATTAGACTCTATTGATTTCAGTAATTTATTTATTTATTTATTTATTTATTTAATACACTTGTATACCGCTAATATCTCAGCCTGGATCGGCGACTCATCGCGGTTTACAGCAATTAAAAAACAGTCTCCAATTTAAAAACATATACACATACAGTACAGATTATTGGGCCACCAATAATAATCCCATGTATCTCGAATTAAAGTAAGACTCTCATTACTTTTATTGGATGTTAAATACCAGATCCAGGAACCTTCCTGTTCCTTCATCTTAAGATTAAATCAGAAAGGAACCTATGAGAAAACACTGTTGTTGCAACTTGGAAAAGGGAGGAACAATAGCACAAGGTTTGATGTTGCTTCACTCTGAGGCTGAGAGAGTATGATTAATCCAATTTGGCTTGGTGATAAAGCTTCAGTTGAGATAGCTTTTTCCCATGATAACTCTTTCAGGGGTGCATTTCCCTTCTGAGGAGTAGATTTCTCTCACTTCCTGTTGTCTCAGCCCTGTTCTTAGCTATGAGTTGCTTGTAAGTCAGGGACTGCCTATATTGCAGTCGTTCACATCAAGTAACAAGCTAGATCTGAGTAACTAGTAACTGAGTTACACCAAGTAACTAGCCAGTCTGAGTCCTTCTACAGAGGTTGAGAAGATCGGGATATAAAAGTTTGAAATAAAATAAATAAATAGGTATTTGATGGAAACTTGGACTCTCAGCACTGCTGATTCTACCACCTGCTTTCCCAAAACAGTAACTCTTGCAAGCACGGTATCCTATCCTTACACTCTACATGTTTTGCTATCGACTTTTCTTGTGCGCAAGCCAGGCTAAAGGTTTTCCTCTTTGGCGTGCGCAATGTTGGATTTTAGAGTATGGTGTCTACATGGTGCCAGTTCACCGAAACACTCCGTTCTTGTCTTTTTACGCCTCACATTCCTTGCCATGGTGGGAAAGTGCTAAACAAGCAAATAAAGCTTTGCATGCAGGCAGTAATGAGAACTGGGAAATGTCCAGGGAACACTGCCTGCCAAACATGTAAACCCTTTTTGAAAGGGCCGGTCAGGACTGATTGAGGAGACCTCAGGAGGAGAGAACTTTAGAATTGCTTAGGGATTTTTTTAGAAAAAAAAATAGATGAGGAGGAAACGAAATTTGTTCCAGACCGCTTTTGATAAAAGAACAAGAGAGGAGGAAGTAATCCAGTAATGTTAGAAGGAAACATTTCAGCCATAATGTAAATTCTACAAAGCTACATAAGGATCATTTGTCAAGTCGCTGTGTGAAGAAGGCTTTGTGTAGCTCATAAAAAGAAGAGGAGGGGAGGAATTTGCCCAACTAAGACTTAGTGAAGAGCTTGTATGGTGTAACAGCCTGAGTGTCAGATGAGGGGCACTGCTACACTGTAGAATTGATGCAATCTGACTCCACTCTAACTGCCATGTCTTAGTGCTATGGAATGGTGGGATATGGGTACTGTTCCATTATCAGGG